TGCAGTAATATAGTTGGTTGGGGCACTAAGCTGCAAGCCAGAGGGTTGCAGGTTCAATTCCTGTTGAGGTCATTAGATTTTTCAATTCACCTAATCTTTCCTGCCCCACCATAGCCCTGAGTTCGACTCAGCCTCTAACTTAAGTGAGTACTGGGAATTTTCCTGGGAGTAAAGGATGTCCCGGCATGTAAGGCTAACAATCTCACAGCCCTCTGTGAACCAACTATCTAGAAGACGTGGGAGCCTTGGCATGTATTTGTTCATATCCTTTTCACCAACGATTGAAATGGAACCAATTCCCAACACAAAATTATTTTAATAAACTTAGGCAATGAGCAGAGACCAAAATAATAATTCTAAATAACGTGTAACACCATCATCCAAACGTTTTAAACTTAGTTTAAGGAAAGTATTACTGAATTTCAGAGTTAATTTCCTGCCCCCCATCTCTCACAGCATAATACCCCATAGGTAGCCAGACAGTGTTTTGCCATGTGCTTTCTGGCAACACATGTGGAAGGGAGCCCTAAGTTAGTGTGATTAAACGTTTGTCAGAACTGTACATTCAGCTCTATACAACTTGGTGCACTGTGCAAGATGTAAGAAATACCTTGTGACCCTTTCTCTCATTATTTTTCTTATTTTGAAGCTAGTTTTATATTTTGATGAAGCTTCAATGTGGCATTAACCAGCAGCGCTCAATACTGTGTCTGTTTCGAGGAGAACAAGTGTAGTTCTAATTGTGTGGTAGCTTCTTGTGTCGAGTTATATGTTCTCTAACACAAGGTTGTACTCCAGCCAGATGGGTGCCTTCAGACATAATTGTAAGTATTACCTTGGGGTGAAGTGTTGCTGTCATGAACAGTACTGTCTTTTGGGATCTGTCAGTATGTAGTTTGATAGAAGCCTGCTGTTCAAGCCAGGCTAGTAACCGCCAGACAGACAGCAAGTAGAGTGTGGATGTTTACTGCATGACATCAGATCCCAGAAGATTGTACTCTTTCCAGTCTCCCCTGTGGAAATGTCAGCATATCTACATGATACTCTAGTTAATTAGAATTTTGTCACCTGGGGACCAGCCAGGTATCTATCAAATGACCAATTAAACAAAGTAGTGCACTTTGTTTACTGTGCAGGATTGCTGAAGTATTGGTTTCAGGAAGGAGATTCACATTAGATCATGGGTGGCCCCAGTGCAATGGTCATTTAATACCCAACCCTTCAGACTAGTGTGATGTTAATGTCTTACATTCCACATGAATCATAAATGCACTGAAAGGACTGGAAATCTCATCTGCTTGCCACATTGACACTATCATACTTAGTGGTTTCATCCACCTCATTGATAGCATCAAGATGTCAAGATTAATTTCTTTTGGGTTGTCATTCTGTGTTGCCTGGCAGATTTGGAATGCTGTAGCAGCATGTTGCTGTGAAACAGCAGTACAGATCTACCAGATGACACAGCAGTACATCCCAGAATAGAGGAATTCTTGTAGTCATTTCAGTGAGATAATTGATTCTCACATACCCAGTCACAGATTTTCTCAAAAATGTATGTTTTTGGAGACATGTCCTGTGGTGTATTATTTTTGTTCAAGTGAATATTTTACTTAATATTTCCAAAGAAACGGTTTAATCACATCCTTCAGCTGGATTCCTCATTTGTGTGGATAAAATCCATGACTGAGATGGCAAATTTTTTTCTCAAGCCAGAAACATTAGAAATAGTATGTGTTCTATGAAGCACTGTTCCAAAATTGATGCTTACAGGTTGAACATGTTTACATTGCTTGGTACACTCTATGTGTTTTAATTACTGTATAGAGAGCTGAAGCCGGTCACGGTAGCCGAGCGGTCTAAGGCGTGCACTGTCTTTGCTCGGAAGCCGGGATCGTGGGTTCGAATCCCACTCAAGGCATGGATGTTTGTGTGAGTTTTTCTGTGTTTGTCTACAGGTAGAGGCCTTGTGACGAGCTGATCACTCGCCCAAGGAGTCCTACCGTATGTGTATGATCTAGTAAACCGAAGTGAAACGGAGAGTTTCATGGAGGTAGGCCTAGGCCCAAAAATTGTGGCTGTAGCGCCACAGGAAAAAAAAATAGAGAGCTGATGTTAGGATTCAGAGAACAGACATTGTTCATGTCAGGCTCCAGAACCCCCATGCTTTTCAAGACTGAGTAGAAACATGATGACTTTAAGTGATCACTAATGTCCCTAGTGGCTTAGGTACTGGAAGAAAGGGGGTTAAGAGTGAGAAACCATCTCTGCTTATGCAAATTCCCACGTTTTCAGATGTACTAGCAGTAGAGTGGGGGTGGGGAAATATGGCATGAAAGTTATGAGCTGGACAAGCTGATTTGCAAGCATAAGAAAGCATGGGGTTCAACGTTATGTATTCTGGTAGAATATCACAAGAATTTTGGAGGGAACTGCTGCCTTAAAGATAGATACAGCCAGCTCCTCTGAAATATGGGTAACTCTGTACCAGACTGCATAGCATTATATCCTACAGGACAGTGATCTCAGCTACTTTCAGTTCATTGAAACTGCAGCACTTAACAGATTTGATAGTTAAAAGTTATTATTATTATTATTATTATATTATATTATATTATTTAGGCTTGCCATGCTGAAGAATAAGAAGCATGAAACAGAAAGTTACTTTGCATGTCTGCAGAAATGTTATAATTTATTTGCAATACAAACATGATGTTTTAAATTCTGTTAGCATGATACCAAGAAGATTATAATAAGCAACTCAGATGGCGCAGAAAAGAAATGTGAATATTAATGTTTATGGGGAATATATCAGAATGTGATGTGATAGAAAATGGAATGTGGATGGAATGGATAATATTTAAAGTGAAACTGGGAAATTGGGTTCAAGATTGCAGACGAGTGCATTGTTTCTATACTAAATGATACTTTTATGCTATATAGCCTGTTTTATTTCATGCCAGAGTTGTTTTTAACATACAGAGTGGCCTAGAAGTCAGTTAAGTTGTTAGTAAAATATACATTAAAATATGTTAGAAATTTCTGTATTACCTACTGAATTTATGGGACACAGAATAGTGTAGTCAGCTGACGCACTATGCTACAAGCTGGAAGGGTGCAGGTTCAATTCCCAATGAGGTCATTGGATTTTTTCAGTTGACTTAATCCTTCCAGCCATACAATAGCCCTGGGGTCAACTCAGTCAGGAATCTTCCTTGGGGGCTAAAGGGCAGCCAGCCGGGCGACCAGCACATAAGGCTGACAGCTTTACTGCCGTCTATGAGCCAGTTGTCTAGAAGTTGTGGGAGCCTTGATGTCTCAGAACCCTTACGTTTTTTTACCTACTGAATTTATAAAAATTGTTCAGTGCACATCTCATAAGGCAGTGACAGCGTTGTACAGAATTGACTGTCAAGTTTAAATCTGAACATTCCCATTAATACAAGAGATTGTTTTTGGTTAACTGGACCTTGGGCCACTTTGTATATTGAGTGGTATCTTTGGCCATTCTCTGTATCACTCAACAATGGAACAGAGGTAATTTTTCCTTGCACTGCATAAAATGGTCTGATTGGTACCACTTTGACTGTGGCACACACAACAAAAACAAATTTTAAACTTTGAACCAGATCAGTAGTTTCTGCTCATCATATGTAATGTGTTATAGACAAGACTTGAATCAAATGCCATCAATGAGAAGTGCTATGTGTAGGTTAAGGAAAGTGTCAGTGATGTTTAAGAGTTTGAATTTGGATCTTTACTTTTTGTGAAAGCTCCTTAATTTCAAGTAGATGACAGTATGAAAAGTGTGTAGTTCAGGGAGAACATGACATTTCAGAGGAACGTATTGCCTCCGTGTTCATGGTCAGAGTGTAAGCCAGGCAAGAAATCAGCAGAACCAGGTGGCAGGCCAAGCATCAGCTCAGCCCCATTCAGTCTGAGCTCAGTTGGCCACTTGCTTCTCCTGGTTTCTTGCTTGGCTTAATCTTTGACCCTGAATATGCTCCTCTGAACTCTTGCACTGTCCCGGAACTACACACTTTTAAACCAGAAGACTGTCATAGCCACTCTCAAGAGAACCTCAGATCCAAAGTGGCCTTATTTCTCATATTGGTCCAAGACTGGGGAGTGTTGATGTCTCGTTAGTGATATCGTTGGTACAGTAGTGATTAAGATGTTGGTATAGAAAGCGTATTTTACACATGCGCTGAAATTTCTTTGAAGTAATAGAGCTTGTAACGTGTTAACTGGATAAACATGTGTTGAGCTATTGCTGAGTAATGCCACCAGTAAGCTCTCTGTACATCACAAAGCAGGTCAGTTCATGATGTCAACTCTTAACTTGAGCATGTGCAGCACCTCTGAGTCCATGAGAACTGGGTGTCATCCATTGTCCTAAATGTCATGCCCATCCTGTCAACTAGAAGATGCTACCAAGAATAGTAGCTCAGGTGCTAACATTTCTGACATGTATCATACAGATGCTTGGTTCACATATCAGACAGGACACTTGACTATCCTGACTGAGGTTTCTCATGGTTTTTCTCAGCTCATTCAGAAAAGTTCTGGGTTAGTACCTCCAATTATGCCACAGCCACCTCCTTCCACATCATTACCCTTTCACTGTTTGCTGAGTCTGCTCTTAGATGCCATATAGTGTGAGCTACCGACAGCCGTTAAGAAGCCTTAAATTAATCAATAAATCTAGACAGGATGCTCTGGCTCTTTCATGATTCCACACTCAGTATATCCATCCTGAAAATGACACAGTGATGCGACTACTGCTGATGCATTATTCCTTGTAATACTACGGGGTCTTATTTATCACTACATGGTCCCTGCACTTGAGGTAGAATTATAAAACACCAAAGTAAGGAATGAGTGTGACAGGCTGCAGTGGAGTGGAGACATCATGCACAGATCTTTTGCTTCCCATTTACATATTGTTGACATATCAGCTGCTGACAGGTTAACTAATGATTGACATGCAATCGTTATAGGACACCAGTACAGTTGCTCTAAATGCTTCTCCTCGATTTCTACGTCATCGTGACAGTTCGGGCAGTTCAGCTGAGAGAGGTGGTCTTACAGGCCTGCGGAATATTGGCAACACAGTAAGTCAAGTTTTGCTGTCAGTGCTCTGTCCTCTTATTGTTGTAAACAGTGTCATTCTGAAAATTATTCCAAATATTCATTCTGATAGTAGGTAAAGGTTCTATGGAGACACTTGATTTTTTACTATTTTAAGTGTCTTGGTCTAATACTCAACACCTTCCATGGTGGTGTTCATTCATTAACATTGGTTTTTTGTGGGTTTTATTCAAGCTCTCCTACCAAATGGGGATGCTGTGAATGTCCCCACACCTGCTATAATGACCTTCCAGTGTATGTTCACGTGAGTGGATACACCCAAACACGTGAGGCATTAGTTATAATATGTTGTTTTTTATTATGCAGTGCTTCATGAACTCAGTCATCCAGTGCCTCAGCAACACGAGACCCCTGCTGGAGTACCTGCTAGGTGATTGCTATCTCTCAGACATCAACACCACAGTGTCTAGCATGAAGGGTGCTTTGATCAAAGGTACTGTATATTTCAGGGTCTCTCCAGGTTTGGTGGGCTTTGTTGGCCCAGCAGGTTCCATGCTTAATTTCTTCTGATGATTGTTAACTGTAACACATTCTTTGGGTTCATACCAGTACCTGATAAAATCAGCCATGTTTTGGTTAATGAAACAGCGTATCAGAGGCTGCGTTTACTTCTATCATCAGGTAATCATATGAAATTCATTCCCTGTTCCATCTGATGGACCTAATAGTGTACGTTTTATATTTTTACCTGGTGATGGAGGAGGACCAATTTCCACAATGTTGTTTCTTTAACCCCTTGACCTCCAGGCCTTGCTGCAGAGCTACAAGTTGCAACACTGGTTGGGTGTAAATGCAGTTGCACAGAAATATCTACAATGCTTTCCCTGAATGACCTTGAAATGGCAGCTGGCATATGTCAAGTGAAGGCCCATTCTTTCTTCTAAACATCAGTGCATTACACTTATGCCACCTAGTAACAGAAAAGTGGTACTGGTGGTTTCGGCTGTGGCGGCTCTAATGCAGACACTCAAGTCTAGTCAAGTCTGTGACATGCAAAGTGGGATGATGGAAAATGTCCAATGTATGTGTTAGTTTAATTGTACAGTTTCGTCACAAACCTTTATGCTTTTGTGACATCTGGTATTGGGAGAGATTATGACGTGTACACTATCTTCATTTGAAAATCTTTGTTCTCTAATGAAAACTCACCATCACTGCATTAACTCACATGTTTGTAGTTTTGTGTCAGTACTCGTGTAAGCTGCTGTCATTAAACTGGCATGTTGTGTTTGTGCAGCATTCTCAACTGTGATCCAGGAGTTGTGGCGAGCAGACAGCGAGGACAGGGCAGTGAACACAACAGCTCTTAAGTCGCAGATCCAGCGCTTTGCTCCTCGCTTCATGGGCTACTGTCAACAAGATGCTCAGGAGTTTCTGCGCTATCTCCTTGAAGGCCTTCATGAAGATGTGAACAGAGTCACCACAAAGCCAAAGGCCATCCTCACAGATGTTGATGACCAGCTGAGGTAAGTCACTACCAGACCAAAAGCCATCCCAGAGTTGGTCTCGACACTGTAGAGAAGAGAAAAATCTTACACTGCCAGGAGTCAAACCCGGCCCATCTGGCCTATAACCTGTCACTGGACGAACTGTGCGATCCTGACTCCTTTCTTAGGTTCATAGAAATACTGAAATTTGAAGTATTTGTATAAACTTAGAATTTTTGCTCTAATGCTAGAGTATCATGCAATACTGTGCATGTGGAAACGAAGTGATACACAGCACTATGGGTTAATAGTTAATGATCAGTCAGCTGGTCAAGAAATTCTTTGCATTTTACAAACCCAGTTGTTCTTTGCATGTCCACAAGAGTGCACTACTGATCCCTGTCCTGAACCAGATGAATTTAATCCACAGTGTGAAGTATATATGTCCAGATGTGAAACTGGCTTTTAAGAGCCATCTGAAGACTGAGTGTGTCTGCCTCTCATTTAGGCAGATCCTTTTGGGGTTCTGGATATGAGGTTGAGGGGAGTTTGTCTTCGATACCCACCTCATAGCACAAGGGGCTTGTTATGGAACAGTGTTGCTTTGTAAGTGTAAGATTTGGAGTTCTCATGTATAAAGGTTACTGTCGTTTGGGATTTAACGTCATGTAGTTTGATAGGTGAGTACCTAAACATCTATAAGTTCTGAATAGGAAGTGAATGTTGCATTTGACACTATTCCATATGCAGCCATATGAAGGTCTCACATTTGGGCATGTTAGCAGAAATTTTGATTAAATATCTATGTATTAAGTCCGCCAATAATGCAACAGTCATTAAAATATTTGCCATTTAACACTAACACAACATGTTTTGGCCACAGACGGTCATCCTTAGATGTTTCAATGCATCAAAACTGTTACACTGCCTTCATGCACGCTAAAACCATGTGTTGCAGTCCACTTGAAATTCATTAAAATTTTTATATTAAAATCTTTCGCAAAATCCTGTTCCACCTTGTAAGGGGCATTGTTCACTTGTTTAAAGATATGTGATACGTGTATTCCAGACAGTTTGTTTCAGCAGCTACGTCTGCAATCTGCAGTATGCCCCTTGCTTGTGTGTTGTTCCGTGAAGCAGTGTGTGGTGTTGTCTTTGACCTTATTATGAAGTGTGTTCAAAAAGTATCGAACCTTTGGTCGGCAGAAATACATTTATTGATTTGGAGATACAAAACCCTCATCCCTTTCAAAGTAGTCTCCTTGGTAATGCACACACTTCTCCCAGCACTTCCGCCATTGTTGGAAACACTTCTGGAATGCGTCTTTTGGAATGGTAATCAGCCGGGCTGTCGCATTCCGCATGATGTCTTTTGTTGACTCAAATCAGGTTCCTTTCAGTGGCATTTTCAGCTTGGAAAATAGCCAAAAGTCACATGAAGCCATGTCGGGGTAGTAGGGAGCCTGACGAACCACAGGAATGTTGTGTTTGGCGACGAAAGTCTGAATCAGATGCGCAGTTTCGGTACAAATTTCGCGGACACTCTCCTCATGCCCAAATCCTTGGTCAAAATTGAATGTATCGATCCAGTGTTTACCCCTATCTCGTTCGCAAGTTCTCGGACTATGATACGACGGTCCTCCATGACCAAAGTCCGCACTTGCTCAATGACATTCTCATTTCGGCTTGTTGAGGGTCTACCTGAACGCGGTTCGCTGTCCACTGATGTGCGGCCATCTTTGAAGCGGTTGTACCACTCCTTTATCCGTGAGTTGCTAATGGCATCGTCCCCGAAAGCCTGTTGAACTTTGCGAATGGTTTCCACTGGGGTATTGCCAAGCTTTTGGCAAAATTAGATGCAATATCGCTGCTCATGTTGTTCCATCATTTTACACCTTACTGGAATGAGACAAGCGCTCACTACACGTCCTCACTCATAGGCCGACTGCCAGCGACTGACGCTTTCTGCGGGCGAGAAAAAATTCACGACTGCTTGTGAATGTTCCCTCCGCATCTCCACCGAAGGGAGCCTTCCGCGCTTCATTGGTTCACGCGGAAAAAAAGAAGGCTCTATACTTTTTGAACACACCACGTAGATGTCATGGTACTTCAGTCTACGTTTTTCCATACTGCTCAAGGTATCATATCTTAGACCTTAAGTGCATAGACACTAAACAGGTAGCTGCAGAAGTTAAAAAGGTAAAATTGGAATTTGAGTTCTACAGGTTTCTTGCTTGACTTGCTCATTGTCTCTGGAGATGATGGTGATGTTCTTTTTTTTTCAATATCAGATTTATTCTGACCTACGTGGGGCAATCCAAAAGTTACCGAAATTTGAATTTTGCGCGCGAATGGTTATGAGTAAATCGAAATACCGCTAGGTGTCTCCTTACACATCCTTCTTGATTCAGTGTGGCAAGCGGCGTTGAGTTGAGTGGTTGGGTTTATTGTTGGTGAACGTATTTCCATTGTTGTGTTTCCGTGAGTTTGCGGTTTTGCAATGGCTTACGTGAGAGAGCAGTGTGTCTGTATAAAGTTTTGTTACAAACTTGGGAAAACCTCTGCACCAAATGTTGAAGCAAGCTTTTGGTGAAAACAGTTTAGGCCAGACACAAACTTACAACTGGTATAAGCGTTTTAAAAATGGCTGAACATTGACTGATGATGACGATCGTTTGGGACGGCCGTCAACGGGCAAAACACCAGAAAATGTCGCGAAAGTTAGGGATCTGATTCTGCAAGATCGTAGACTGACCATCCAAGACCTCTGTAACACCTTTGGACTAAGTTATGGTACATGTCAACGAATTTTGTCAGAGAAACTGAACATGAGGAGGATTGTGGCGAAGTTTGTGCCACGACTGCTGCAAAATGAACAGAAGCAGCATTGCTTGGAAGTCTGCAGGGAACTTCAGCTACAGCTTCAAGAGGATCCAAACTTTCTTTCGTTGGTTGTCACTGGTGATGAAAGTTGGATTTATGGCTACAACCCTGAAAGCAAGCAGCAGTCGTCGCAATGGAAGAGCCCTTCTTCACCTCGACCAAAAAAAGCTGGACAAGTCAAGAGCGACATTAAGTCCATGTTGATCTTTTTTTTTTGATATTGACGCGATTGTTCATAAGGAGTTCGTCCCTCCAGGTCAGACAGTCAATAAAGAGTTCTATCGCGATGTTCTAAGGCATTTGAGGGAGAACATGAGGAGAAAACGTCCAGAGAAGTGGCGCACGAACGACTAGGTACTCCACCATGACAACGCACGACTGCACACGGCTTACAATGTGCAGGAATTTTTGGCTAAAAACAAGATGGCAGTTGTTCCCCACCCACCATACTCGCCAGACTTAGCTCCATGCGACTTCTTTCTCTTCCCCAAGACGAAAATCAAGTTGAAGTGGTGAAGATTTGATACAGTTGAGGAAATTCAAGCGGAAACGCAAACGGTACTAAACACCCTAACAAAGAAAGACTTCCAGGATGCATTTGAAAAGTGGCAGAAATGCTGGGATTGGTGTATGCGCTCCCAAGGGGACTACTTTGAAGGTGATGGTGCAGAATAAGATCTAGGTAAGATGTAACAGTTTTTATTAATATATTTCGGGAACATTTGGATTGCAACAGTACATTGCATTACAGTCCAGAAGACTGTGCTCATCAATATCAAGACTTAGGTACAGACCTGAAATCTGAGCCCTTTCAATTGTCAAAATTGGCATCTCTGTAACATGAACCATTTGTTGCATGGTTGTGTTGCAGCGACCAGCAGAAAGCTCTGGAGTCATGGAAACGATACCTGCGTATGGACAACAGCAAAGTGGTGGATATTTTTGTTGGGCAGCTCAAGTCAACATTGCGGTGCACCGCTTGTGGGCACTGTTCTGTTACATTTGACCCATTCTGGGATCTCTCTCTGCCTATACCCGTTCGAACGGGTCAGGTGCGACTGCAGCAGTGCTTTGACCACTTTACTCGTGAAGAAGTACTTGATGGGGACGAGAAACCGGTGAGTGTGCAGCACAATGCTGAATCTGAGCTCTTGATGCTTGTTGCACCGTTAACTTTTGTATTCTGTTAATAAGTGTACTTTTTTTAATCATCTCAGCAAACTCCAAATAAAGCTGTCCAGTGTGACTAGTGGATTTAGAACTCTCTATGTAATTAGCCAAACATAATATATACCAGTGATTAAATTTATGCCTATTGTAGGTTTCTCCATACACTACTATTACTGTCGCCTGACATGTCAAAGTTTACTCTGTGGCAGTGTCGATCCTGTCAAATGAGGTGGATGTTGCTTCTTTGTACATAAATGTCATTTACTCCTACATGTTACCCAGATGCAGAGAAACTTGCAGTATACCTTGTCAAAGCTCAGAAGAATCAAAATATGCAACAGTTATGCATTATTTTTCACTTGTTCTCTTCCATTTCTGTTTTAAAAGCCAGTTTGGGGTGGGGGGAAATCATAGTGTGGGGGCATGGCAGTGAATGTATTAGTACAGAAATTGACCCAGATACAATTGACAGCTCTTACATACATCTGTTGTGCTGTTAATATTGAAGGTGAAACTTCTTTATGTGGTAGTGGAGCCTTAATTAATTATACAGTTACGTCTTGCAAGTGAAATACTAAAAATTCAGCAAAAGTGTTAGGGGAAAGCCAGAAATGTAGTTCTTTGACAGAAGTAACTTTGGCAAGGGTAAGGGTTGCCATCCAGCTGCCTACATGCAATGCAGTGGGATTTGAGGTTCCCACAACAGTGAATATGTGACTCATCTGGGATGTGACATGTAGCTTGGTAGGCAGGTACCAGTGTTTCAGGTGACCCAGCTGATCTTGAACAGTTGAAGTGTGCAAGTTCAGGAATTGGATCAGATATGTAGGCAGGTTGCGGCTATCTTTTTCAGTTTTTTCTCACAGTTCAGCTTCTTCTGAAAACAATATTTTGCCCCTGGAAAGGTCCACCTCGTCTCACTGTTCCATTTCCCACTTGTAAAAACAAACTAGTGTGCCTCTTGAAAGGGTCATTTGACAATCCATCTTTCCCATTGACTTGGATTGACTACCTTTCCTTGCCCCCTACCTTGGGTCTCATTACCATTTTCCCAGCAGCCTGCTTATATAACCAAATCAATCTCTGAACCTACACACTTCAATCCTGAAGATGTAAGCAGCATGTCTCCCAGAAATGTTGGCGTCACAGTGTCTGTACACTTTTTTGTTGGGAGACAGCATTTCTTTGATGTATTTTTGCTGACATCTCATTACTGATATGTCAAACCCAGGAAGGGTTATTGACTTCCAAGAAGGCCAGTTCCATGTCACTCATTGGTAATGCTTTGGCTCTTATTTTGAGATTGTCTTGTAAAGTAATAGATCATACTGTAGATGCTGTAGTGCATTACAGATGTTAAGTATTTGAAAACAAACGCTGACTGGAGTTATCAGGGAACCTAGACACAAATGTAAGGGTGAGAGTTAAGGGAAAAATTATTAAATAAGCGAACATATCATTTATCTAGGAAGTGAAATAAACTCAGAATGGAAAGGGTACAAATTAGTTATGTATTTTATCACATTATCAGAGGAATATCTTGGAGCAGAGTAATTCTAGAGCAGTACAAAACAAAAACCTGCGAAGGAAATTGAAACTCATACTGATATACGATACCAAAACATGGATTCTTGCAAGGAGAAATAAGGACAAACCCAAGCAATGAATAGGATGTTTTTAGAGAAAATAGAATTAAGGATTTTCTGAACAGAGTTAGAAGAGAAACACCTGCAGTGGTTTGACCATATCAGCAAAGATAACTCGGGAAGGTTACAGATGTATCACTTTTCTACATATTCTCCGTGTGTCTGAAGACAATTTGTTCAGCAGTTCACACGCTTTTTGATGCCATTAGAAAGCATTGTTTGGGCTGAATGCAAAGCCAGTCATGCAGCACCTCCTTCGCCTCATCATCTACAAATCAGAACCCCCTGTAGAGGTCCAGACAGTTAGAAATTCAAAAGTCCAATGTCCAAACTTCAGTGCTGCATGGTTGGGAACTTCACATATCAGCTCCTTAAGGGTTTCTCTAGTACAGGCAGCAGTATGCAGTCAAGCATTGATGTGCAAAATGAGTACACCAAAATGAAGCATGGCCCCTTCTTCTTCTATGATGGAAATTTAAATTGGTGCAGTCATGTCCCCTGCTTTACTGCAGCTTATTCACTGCATCCGAAGTCATGTTGTATTGGCGTATCATCTCACAGAGTTCAACACTGCAAACTGTCATTGGAGCAGTGCAGATACTTTTTAAATCACCCTCATAGAAGAATAAATAGAACAAGGTTATTGAGAAGAGCATTATAATGAAAATCTAAAGCAAAAAGACCTAATGGAATGACCCAAACTAAAAGTGATTCTCTGTGTGGTGATCTTAAGTGAGTTCAGAACCACTCACATTTACTGTTAGAGGCCATTTATAGGTGATGCAGCCTGGGTTTATGGATCAAGTTTGGAAACGAACAGTCATGATAAATAATAAAACTCATCACAGTCACCACATTCAAAGACTGTCACTCAGACTCAGTGAAATGTCAGAAATACTCGGTGTGTCCAGGATCCGTTGGGACTCATTTTTTTTTAATTTTGCCCTGCAATGCCATCTGTTGGCAAATTATGGCATTAAGATTCTTTAAGTTCTAGCTGTAGCTGTCTATAATTTCAAAGTGCAAGCATCACTGCATCGTGTGTTCTGACCTTGAATGTAATAGTACTGTTCTGACGCTCACCGGAAAATGGCGATTGAACAGAGAGCCAGCATCAAATTTTAAGTTATGCAAAACAGCCAGAGAAGAATACAAAATGATGAAAAGTGGGTATGATAATGATTGTTTAAGTTGCTCAAACATTTTTCGATGGTGTGCTGTATGAATGTAATAGTACTGTTCTGACGCTCATCGGAAAATGGCGATTGAACAGAGAGCTAGCATCAAATTTTGTTTAAAGTTATGCAAAACAGCCAGAGAAGCATACAAAATGATGAAAAGTGGGTATGGTAGTGATTGTTTAAGTCGCTTGAGTATTTTTCGATGGTATGCTATATTTCATGACGGCAGGGAGGACATTGAAGACGCTCCACGTGCATCAAAGCCGAGAACAAGTTGCACTGAAGAAAATGTGAAAAGAGTGACCGAAATCTTTGCATTGGACAGATGTATTTCTGCAAGACTCATCGAGGAGCTTTTGGGAATACCAAAAAGTACTGTGCATCAAATTTTGACCGAGGATTTGGGCAAATGAAAGGTCTGTGCGCAGTTTGTACGACAGCCACTGTCAGGCGATGAAAAACTTGCCAGAGTGGAGCACTGCAAAGAAATGTTACAGTTGGCCCAAAGTGATACAGAATTTACAGAATTGATTGTTACTGGTGACGAGACATGGTGTTTTCAATAATAGCCTCACACAAAGCGACAGAGTGCAGCATGGTTGAATCGAAAGACGCTGAAACCAAAGAAAGTGCGCATGCAAAAGAGTTGAGTAAAGACATTGCTAACCATTTTCTTTGATTCCAAAGGAATCATTCACAAGGAATTTCTGCCAGAAGGTCACACAGTGACTTCTGATTATTATCTCAGGGTCCTCAATCGTTTGTGGTAGAGAACTCTTCGAATTCGAACCAGAATATCGAGAGCAAGGTTTCTGGTTGCTCCTCCACAACAATGCCCTACCCCACAAATTGAAGATTATGTGTGATTTTTGGCCAGAAAAAGAATCACAGTCCTTGATCATCCTCCGTATTCGCCAGATTTGGCTCCAGCAGATTTCTGGTTGTTCCCAAAAGTTAAGTTGGCAATGAAAGGAGACTATCACGACACCATCCAGGACATCCAAAGGGAATGTACCACAGTTTTAAATGTGATTCCACAAAAGGAGTACAGTGTCAGTTTTCTAAAACATTTCAATTGATTCCAGCTATGAATTGAATCAGAAGGAGAGTATTTTGAATAAAGAGAGTGAAATTTTGAAAATAATTTACGTCTTGTATTTTTAATGAATACAGTCCTAACAGAACCTGGACACACTGTGTATGTTGATCCTTTTCATTCATCAAGAGCACATTTTCGTTTTATTCAACTGTGATGGGGTTGTGCATCACAGGTTCCCCTTCAACTTGAAACCAAACCATCAGGCACCACTACTGCATGGATGCTGCATGCTGTGTTGTCTATGGGAAAATACTGTAAGATCTTGAAATCAAAATTAGTTGGCTTGTTGTGACAGCCCAGTCTAGCCACCCTTGCTCCCTGAGATCTTCCCCTTTTCGGGGATGAAATTGAAGCCCAGAGGATGCAGTTTTGAGGACATTGTCAGCAGAATTTGCTGTTGATTCTTTATAGTTTTATGAAAGGAGAATTTCAGACATGGTTTGAACGATGCCAGAATTCCTGTGATTGATACATAACATGGCAGCTGAATTTGTATTCTAACAGAGTTTATATCCTATATACATGATATGTTCAAAAAGTATTCAACCTTTCGTTGGCAGAAATACATTTATTGATTTGGAGGTACAAAACCCTAATCCCCTTCAAAGTAGTCTCCTTGGTAATGCACACACTTCTCCCAGCGCTTCCGCCATTGTTGGAAACACTTCTGGAACGGGTCTTTTGGAATGGTGATGAGCCAGGCCATCCTGTTTCGCATGATGTCTTCTCTTGACTGAAATTGGGTTCTTTCAGCAGCATTTTCAGCTTGGGAAATAGCCCAAAGTCGCACAGAGCCATGTCGGGGGAGTAGGGAGCCTGACGAACCACAGGGATGTTGTGTTTGGCGACGAAAGTCTGAATCAGATGCGCAGAATGGGCGGGTGCATTATCATGATGGAGCTGCCAAGTTTTTGCTGCCCACAGATCCAGTCGTTTGCACTGCACAGCATCACGAAGGCGATGAAGGACCTCCTGGTAGTATTCCTTTGTGATGGTTTGGCCTTGTGGTGCGTACTCATGATGCACAACCCCACGGGAGTCAAAGAAAACTGCCAACATGACCTTGACATTGCTGCGGACCTGCCGTGCTTTTTCTTGGCCTCAGGGATGTTGGATGTTTCCACTGTGGCAACTGCATCTTGGTTTCCGGGTCGTACCCATAAACCCACGACTCATCGCCTGTGATCACGGTGCTCAGAAAGTTGGGGTTACTGTTTGCATTGTCCAGCTTGTCCTGTGTGATTTCCAGACAGCGTTACTTCTGCTACATTGTTAGCAGTTTTGGTACGAATTTCACGGACACTCCTCATGCCCAAATCCTGGGTCAAAATTGAATGTACCGATCCAGTGCTTACCCCTATCTTGTTCGCAAGTTCTTGGACTGTGATACGACGGTCCTCCATGACCAAAGTCCACACTTGCTCAATGACATTCTCATTTCGGCTTGTTGAGAGTCTGCCTGAACGCGGTTCGCTGTCCACTGATGTGCGGCCATCTTTGAAGCGGTTGTACCACTCCTTTATCTGTGAGTTGCTCATGGCATCGTCCCCAAAAGCCTGTTGAATCTTGCAAATGGTTTCCACTTGGGTATCGCCAAGCTTTTGGCAAAATTTTGATGCAGTATTGCTGCTCATGTTGTTCTATCATTTTACACCTTCCTGGAATCCGATGAGCGCTCACTACACGTCCTCACTCATAGGCCGACTGCCAGCGACTGACGCTTTCTGTGGGTGGGAAAAAATTCACGACTGCGCATGAATGTCCCTTCCACATCTCCACTGAAGGGAGCCTCCCGTGCTTCATTGGTTTACATGGGAAAAAAGAAGGTTCGATACTTTTTGAACACACCGCGTACGTGGGTTATGGCCAGAGTCACACCTATGGAGAAAGAAAGAACGAAAGAATAAATGACAGCACTGTAAATAAATATCCAAACTCCTCTTGCCAACTAGGGAATGGGGAAGGCAGAGTTTGAGTGGAGAAAGAGAGAGGATTGTGTTTTACACTGAATTGGGGTCAAGATGTCTGCCCAAGCCATGGGGCTCAGCCTACAGGAGTCAGAAAAACAAAAGAACAGAAATTGGAAAGGGACAGAAGAGTCAAAGCTGGCCAGCTCCCAGAATGCGAGCATGCCTGCTATGATTACTTAGGAAAGTAATTTTTGCCCCTCCCCCCACCCAATGATTTTAATTTCTTTTGGATTATGAAGGCATATTAACTTCAAAGGAGTACTGTGGGTGGGGAACTTGACTAAAAATTTGCCAGTTTTGTTTATTGTCATATCCTTATAACTTTTGTGGTATGTCCTAACATGATCATGAAGTACGTGACCTGCTGTGTTTTTCTGTGTGGTTTCTGCAGTAAATTCATAAGGATGATTTCTGTGTTCCAGACATGTTCCAAGTGCCAGATGCGCCGGAAGTGTACCAAGAGCTTTACGATTCAGAAGTTTCCCAAAATTCTGGTTTTACGTATCCTTTATAAATTCAGGTGGTTTATATGGCTTGAGTGAGTGGTTATTCTTATATATATATATGTCTGATACTGTGGCATGAAGGATCTTATAAGGAGAACCATGAAAATATATTCAGGAAATTTTGTCCACTTTGTCATCAGGCGTCAAAGTTCAGTACAAATATTATGTTTCTGGACATTGTCCATCATCCTGTCTTTATCTAAAAACACCATCCTGTTTGTTTTTTTAAAACACAGCATTTGAGAGATTTGATTCTGTCTCTGTCTTCAGGTAAAACCTACTCAGTTTGGCCTAGTCAATAGAGTTAGTTCCTATCTCCAGGTACCTATGCCAGCACCAAGATGGGATATACAAGCCAAGCACAGCACAAACCATCTCCAAGAGCTAACAAAATATTAAATTATTAAAAACTCTACATGTATGAGGCCTTGCACCAGAGAATTATTATGATAGAAATCATCACTGGAGAGAAAAATACTCTTTATGGTACCAACACAAGAAAAACAAATTTTCTCACACAGTCTACACTTGTATATGAATGAATGTATAAGGGGTGGGCCTTCTTGGCCCTTGCACGATGACCTACAGTGGTCTATTGTGCTTCAGTCTACACTTAATGGAGTTGTAGTTATGGATCATGTCCACAAACAATATTTCTGCTAATGTACCGTTGTCACAAACTTTCAGATCTTATGTAAAAGTTTAATATAGTCTGTAATGTCAAACAAACTGTGACTGTTTCGATGTCCCCACATACGAAATCCTGCGCAGGATTACTGAGGGGGTAATCAAAAGGGGAAGCACAATAGATCACTGTGGTGACAGTACAAGAGCCAAGAGGGCTCACCCCTTGTACATTCATTCAGTGTCAAACAAAAACAGACTCAAACTACAGCTTTGTCTTACTCCTCTTTTCTGTTTGATAAAATCTGTCACCTCATCTTCTCAACGCTTGCCCCGGGTGATTATGGTGATGGAGAATTTGGGGGAATGAAGAATGGCAAAGGAAACCAAGTATTTAGAGAAAACCGGCCCGAGTGCCACTTTGTCCACCACAAATTCCACTTGACCAGACCCGGACCACCATTGTGGGAAGCCGACAACTAACCACTTGAGCTATGGCTCGGCCCTTATTCTTCAAATTATTATACACTCTGTCTCTTAAGCCTTTGTAAATTCACTGTCTAGTCATGTGGCATATGAGGAATTTTCTTAAACCTGGTTTGAAACTTGGCAACCAGTAAGTTGTGGTCAGAGTCAATATCTGCCCCAGGCAGCATCTTCACATCCTTCACACTGTTTCTGAATCAATGTTTCACAGAGATGTAGTCCAGCTGATGCCGCCTCCAATCCCCAGGTGCCTTCCATGTGTAAAGACTTCTCTTTGGCTTCTTGAACCAAGTGTTGGTAACAATCAGTCCATTTCTTTCACAAAAGTCAGTAAGCATTTGACCCCTGTGATTCCGTCTTCCTAGAGGCGTAAATGACTTAGTACCTGATCCTAGCCCTTTTGATGTTAAAATCGCTATTGCAAATTTGAAAAGGTATAAATCACTAGATAATCTGCATCCACGCTTTATAAGCAGATAAATGGATTCATTCTTAATACTCTAGTTCTTATTTGAAATTTCCAACTTAAAACATAAATGCAATTGATTTTGTGATAAGCACATTTGCCATGCATTTTGACAGCATATAAATGCCATTTTTATCCTTGTGTAAACTTATATGTCATGGATTTAAATGTTGTACAAAAGAAGGTTTTCTAGTTTATGGATACCTGTTTTTTTTTAAATTGTACCCCTGGAAGATTTACAGCAAAATTTTTTTCTAGCATTCTAGCAGAACTTTGCTTCGCATATGATTCGAACAAAATACAATTTGTTCAACAGGATTTTTTTTAATTGCCAGTGGGGTGGAACCATGTCCCTTGTACTGCGGCCACTTCTGGCCTGTTGTACCAGCCCCAGATGATAGGTGAGGGTGATTGGCAGGGGAAACCAAAGTACTTGGAGAAAACCTGCCCCAGCGCCACTTTTTCCACCACAAATCCCACTTAACCAGACCCAGGATCGAACCCGGGCCACGGTAGTGGGACCAGTGACTAACCGCTTGAGCTATGGCGCGCCCTTGTTCAACAGGATACTGAACTATAGCCATACATCCATTACATAACATACCATTTGGTACTATTGTGACCCATGTTCAATAAAACAAGAACACCAAAACTGAATGCTTACTCGTGTGAGCGTGAATTATTTCAGCAGGTTGCACTGACACCTCTTGAATGAAGTCATTCTGGGTTCTTATTGTGATAAAATGGTAGCACTCAGCCATAGGTAGCTATCACTGGCCAGTAGCCAGGAAGTGGCAAATATGTAAATGCATAGGGAGGTCCACTGTCAGGTAATGATTTTTCTCTGTAATACACAGGAACCAGCCTCTGCCCAGCTATGCCCACTCATGATCTCACCCAACCAAAGTGTTTTATGTGTTTTTCTTCCTTAATATTACCATCAAGATCTTAAACGATTTTCACCTACGGAGCGTTTTCGTGGGAAGCTGAATGTTACAGTGGATTTCCCTCTCACTGGGCTGGATTTGAGTTCTTATGCTGCCAGTAGAGGGCCAGGCTGTATGTATAACCTGTATGGAGTGGCCAACCACTCAGGCACTACCTATTCAGGACATTACACTGCATACTGTAAGCACCCCTATACAGGGGAGTGGCATGAATACAACGACTCCAGGTAAGTTAGGGCAGTTCATTACGAATTTACTCTTTGTGTGTGTACTCACATCATCGTAAGAAGTGTAATGAAATCCATAATGTAATGAATCCATGAGGAGTGGCTTTTCTTACATTAAAAGTAGGTTGTCGCTAAATATGGTTATACAGAATTGTTGCAAGTAACCAGTTGTTATCTTGTAAAATATACTGTGTACAATAATGATAAAATAATTTCCTTATCATAAGTAGTTAATGCAGTTGTTAGTTAATGATGTGTTAAATAACCTTTGTATGAATGAGAGCAACCATGGTGCTACTGATAGTGTTGTTTCAGTGCATGTTCAGTATATGATTGCTTGCCAAAGATTATGGTTGCAGGATCAATTTCCAGCTGAAACAGAATGTTAAGTGTTGATTGTTGTTTTGACAGCTGTTGCACTAAAGCAAAGAACGAGTTATGGAAGGTAAAAAAATTTTTGCACTGAATGTGAATTATTCACTAAATGTGTGGGAATAATACATTTTTGTGTCAGGCTTCACCCGGGGAGCAGAAAAACATTTACTAAATATGGAGGTCAACTTTATGTTATTTATGTTTTAAGTTCTGAATTAAATTCAGTATTCATGAATGTTTTGAACATAAATTATTGAACATGTGAAAAGAATTGTACGTGAATTTATGTGTGTTTTAAGATAACTGTGAATTGTCTTTGGGAAGTGTTATGTAGAAGTGTGTATATATGCACAAATGTGTTGATGATCATCTCTGTTTCAGCACACATTATCAGTAAGTCTCATGATCAGGCCTGTAATCTTGTCATTGTGGTTGTATGTGTTTCAGAGTTTCCACCATTTCATCGCGAAGCGTGGTGTCAAGTGAAGCTTACGTGCTCTTCTTTGAACTCTCCAATCATAATTCACACTTGTAAAGAGAAATTTTTGTATAGCCATGTGATTGTGTTGTGAACTAACAGAGTGGAGAAGAGAATTAAATTTTTATGTCTGCACGTCCATTTTCCATGAATCAAACACATGGCCATGACTGAAGGTGGGGTTTATGCAGTATGAAAGTTATGTTGCTTGATTTCTTGTGGGCTGTTACTCTTCTAGTTCACAGTGGCAATGGTATGAACAAGTGAGCATAGTGGGGTGCTGAAACTGCAAATGCTTAAGCTTATGGTGTGCTGGGATGTGACACTGTATCATCCGGTTGATAGGTACCAGTGTTTCACAGGAACCTACTGACTCCATCTTCAGATTACAAGTGAGCTGAGCTGGGAAAAATGAAATGTGAATATAAGGAAGAGAGTGTAAATTCTGGCCAGAAGCAAACTGGTGGGAACTCTTGACTGTGGCCACAGCCCTTTCATCCCTATATCCCATGCCATTTGTCCTCTTGTAGCTCAGTTACACCCTGAGGCGGCAGGCTCTTCTGAACTGTTCTACCTGCCTGCCGGAACACACAGTATCACATGCAAGAAAACCAGGATCTTAAGATTTGCCACCGTGAAAATCTCACAATCATAAATTATTGTTTTTTTTTTATAGGTGTACAAAGTTTATTTGTATGAAGAGTGGCTAAAAGGTGTTTATAAATTGTTTGTCGAGTTGTTGTCAATATCTGCTGCTGCTTGCAGTAGCAACAGATTCACCTGAATCTAAGGCAATTGCTGAACTTCTGAGGCATGAAAGTGGAAATGTTATTTTACTCTAGTCATTTTTATGGATCACTTTTTTAGTCAAGTATACAGTGTGAGTGTTGTTTCAGATATGGCCTGCTAAGGTATTTATTTTGGACAATAAGTTCTTAAGTAGAATCTTGCTTATTTGTGTCTGACAGCTGCACAGCTTGAGTGTTTTTTTTTTATACTGTGGCCTGTGTCATCACTTTAGGAGAGAGCTGTACAGCTTTACTTCTTCTTGTGCTAAAACATGTACCATTTTGTTCCCTCTGATAGTTATCACCTCACCCAGAACATTGCAGGTGTTGGTAATATTTGCATCTTTCAGCTGTAGCTTCCAGGACCATTATACATGGCTCCTGTTTGTTGCCACATGAATCCTCACCTTGAAAACAAAATGACAGTTGTCTCTATCCAGTGCTGACCAGTACAGACTGTATAGCAACAGATGGCAGGATGATAGATGAATAATGAATTTGAAAGAGTTTGAAAGGGAGTGGTCATGGCCTAATCCAGGTACTGTTGTGCCTCTTTTTATAGATATCTTTTAGAGAAAAAAATACAGTGAAAGTAGATTATCCATAGGCTGGCTGCCACAGCATATGCAGCGCTCTTCTCACATAGACTTGCCATGGTCGCCGATAATTAATGGCTCACTCTTCTGTTGTAGTTTAAGTTATATTAGTTTGCAGAAGAGTCCCTTTAAGTGACGATCCTCTGCTTCCAGGCATGTGTCCCGGCATGCAAACATGTTTCTAGGCACAGATTTAAATCACTTGATTGCAGAGGCCACAGTCTTTGACCTAAGACACATTTACCGAAGATATCTGTGCATCGATAGAATTTTTTGTAGTGTGTGGCATGGCATTATATTGCATGAAATGCCCATACTATTTTTCGTCATTAATCATTTGATCAAAGAAGGGGGACAATCAATCTCACATAACGTTCAGAATTTATTATTTTGTGAAAAAAACTTAAGCCCAGTTATCCTCCGTGTGAGCTGCACTGTTTGCCAATCCACACTGAAGAGCCTAAAGACATAATGACTTCTTTAGGCTTGCTTTTAATTGAGGAACAATGTCTTCAAGTTTTTCTTCAGTCAGTATGTGTCTCTTTTCAAAATTTATTGTTATCTAGCACTTATCACATAGAATGTAATTTTGTGATGATATTGTAAATTATTGCTTTACATGACATTGCACTGTTAGGCTCCTTCCTACCGAACTTTCTACAGCATTCCTTCATAAAGAATGTTCTGCAGAGATATTGTATATGAATAATTTCTGTCAGCACTATACTTCATTTCCAAACACTATTTCACAACACCAGCAACTCTAGTTGTAAGTATCTCAAGAGCACTGAAGCAACGAAAACACAGTGCTGTCTACATAAGGCAGCCAGCATCAGGTGACTTAAGTAACAATTCTGCAGCCAGCAGGGGAATAAATTTCTATACAACCAGTCTAAGTATAGTCTGCCTTCTCTGTACTACTCAATTCATATAACCCCAGAATTTATCAGCCCTGGTCATGGGGGAGGAAATCCTGGGTTTAGTTTTCATGCAACATGTTCGTTAGAAGCTGATACTGGGTATGTATACCTTCTAGGGACAGAGTTCTTCATGAGAAGCCAATAATACTCATATAGCTAGTCAAGAAATGCCCCACTTCTCATTCAGCCCAGAGTTCCACAAGAGCCCTGCAGAGAGACATTTCTTATTTTGGTTAATATCTATATATCATCATTTCCAGTATTTCGTCTATTGAGATCTATGGCAGATAATACAAAACAGGATCTTCCATCATGTCATAGGTGTTTCAAGACGTCTTTTGGTCGGTATTTTAAAAATTGTTTGGAATCCTGTCAACATATTCTTTCCAGTTTGTTCTCAATTATTCTATAAATTTTGCTGTCTGTGGAGTTCACAATTCTGTTGTAATATCTATATTTTATGTCCTAGAGGGTGTATCACATAATCCTCATGAAACACATCTGCTAGTATCAAGCTTCCTTATTCCTTTTTCTTATTAACTTTGATTCACTACCATAATATAATGTTTGTCCAGCAAGAGTCCTCTGAATGTATATTATATGCCTAAAAACTAATAATGGTTTGAAAATCTGATTAATAATTTCTAGGATTTTGACAGAATTTACATTTTATATACCCTATTTCAGTTATTATACCGAGATGTTGTATTAAATTTGAAAACTAAATTATTCTTGTCTTAGATTTGGGTAAAAATGGAATGGTGGAAATTTCCATTTGAGGTTTTCTTGGAAGCAGTGGTTTGAACACTAAACTCAGGAGCATTTTGTTCAGGATTTTGTATCATTGAAACTGAATGTTAAATGAGGAACATCAAAGGGGAGTTCCACTGGATAATGATATCTAAAAACAGAGCAAGGGATTTTTACTTACACTGAAACATTGGGCTTGAGTGGAGAACTCCAGGGGATGGAGACAAAAGGAAGTGCGATTTCCCATTCAGAATTGAAAATTGGAATTAATTAAATATATAGTAGTGAGTATGAAAAAGGACAGTATCATTTTCTGTTTACAAATTTGTATAATGCTTAGAAATGCAGTTGTTGAAATGTACCTGGTACCTAGACCTTCATGTTCTTTCATAAAAGTAATCACATTTTCTGTATAGTTGCTGATCAGCAGTTCCATAATGTAACATGTGAGAGGTTTCTGGATATACTGCTATATGAGCTGCAAGCAACAAGAGGAAGTTCTAAAGTGACAGCTTTCTGTGAATTTAATTATATTTATTCACAGTTTATTTAACAAATCTGTCAGTAACTAAATGCTATACAGCAGAGTTCTTCAACTTGTGGCACCCCAACCAAGGCAGTGTAATTGTCAAGGCTCACCTTCAGTTTTTTAAGGAGAGATTTTTATCATCACAAAATCATAAATTTTGATTAAAAGTTCTATAGCTAAAATTCTAATCGTTGTGTAAGTTTAACAAATAACGATCATGGATTTTGACGATTCTTTTATTCCTCAAATTTTTCTCACTTATTTTCGACCTTCCCTTAAACTTCCATGGTACACCTGCAGACCTTTCACATCACACCAGTATTACCACAACACACAAGTTGGAAATTGATGCTATATAGCATCGAATGATTGGATGATAATGATAATAAATTGGAAAGAACATGGAAGGAAGTGATCGTGGCCTAATTTGGGATGTGATCCCAGCATTTGCTGCAGAAGACTACAACATCCTGTCAGAATAGTTGGTATGCTGATCAGATTGGATCCAGGCGACTCCCGAATTCAGGACAGAAGTGTTACCACTTGAGCTCAGATTCTGTTAAGTATTAAAGAAGAAAACTAATTTCCTAGTTTATTTACTCTGTAACTGGCCAAATGCTGGGTCAGAAATGAAGTTCTCAACTCCACCTAAGATATCATAATTAATCCTACAGCATAGTATTGTTGGTTGGGGCTCGATATATCAGTACCACTTTGTCCACACTCATCTTACTCTTGCTCTGAAGGTAGAGGCAGCATATTGCTTCGAGATGTTAATAGTGGTCTGCCAGACATCCCAGTTTAGTAATTGTCATTGCAATTATGTGTCATTATTGGCCAGCTTCTTGTGGAGGACATCACCAGCGTACTGACCCCTTATCCCCTTTAATTGTCTCTTCTTAACAGCTTATATACATCTTTAAACATTGTGGTCATCCTATTTTTGTTTTCATTCAGGGAATTAGTTGGTGTTTTGATACTGTGTGGCACGAGTTCTTGGTTAATGGCCATCCAGTGTGAAGCACAGAAGTGATGGTTTTCTGTGAAATTATTTCTTTTCTTGATAGAATGAATACTTGGAAGCATGTACCCTACTACAATCATATCTGATGCTCTTACTGGTAACAGAAGTGGTAGTACTGTTGATTTTATTTAGCAAGTTGTGTAAATGATGACTGATAGGAAACTGAACTGATCGTCATAAAAGATGGCCCGTCCTGTCACTATTACAGAATGATATTTACAAATTGCATTCATATGTAATACAAGTTACTGAAAAATGTGACAAATACTGTAATAAAATATTGTAAACATATTTTTCTGGATCATAGCTACCATGTAGCTATTAAAGTACTGAGAGAATTAGTGCATTTGCACCTGATTGCCTAACACAATTTAAATGAGTAGTTATTGAGATTGTTTTTAGTTTAATTTTCTTTCTCTAGAGTGACAATGTTTGTGATTCCTGTTTTGCACTAGTCGTTTAAGAGACATCTAGTTTCAAGTAATAACATTTGTTTCACAATTTGCATAACACCCTGTGACTTAAGTTGCTGTTGCTTCAGCAGATGAAAGGACAAGTTTTCATGCATTTTTAGTCCCTAAAATTCTTGTAAAAATATTAGAGTATTAAATTAAATATGCTAAATAGAATGAGAGCATTTTTATTTGCATGGATCAGTCCTGTTTGTGTGTTTATATGATGGTGGGAAAGAGAAATTTTCCATTCTGCTTACAAGGTCAGGCAAATAAGTTTCAAGACTCATTTTTAATTTCATGCTTGGTGATCTGACAGTACTGTTACATGGAATATCAGGTGATGCATCAAGACAGAGCTGACATGGAAAGTTTGGATAAGCTGGGTGCAGTGTTCATTGAACAACAGCTAGGTAGATCACTGTGTGTTGTGAACTTTGTCCAGCCATGAAACTGGAGTGTCTGCTGGAACAGAGTTAATGTGAATTTTTGTGTTAAAATTACAGAACTTACCACGTGAAATGTTAAGAGATGTTAAAAATAGAAATGGTGAGTCCCCAGGCCAAAGAAGCCATGAATGTTAAATTAAAAAAAAATGTTTTTGTCCCTGATGCTTCAGCATGACAGTGCAATAGGTGCTCAGTCTTTGGTACCTTCTATCAATCTCCTTTTGTGGATGGATGCTGAAGTATTTGAAACAGGTTAATGAAAGAAAAAAAATGTTTAGATTTCTCCTCTCTAATTACCATATAAAGTAACAACATTACATGGTGGCAAGGGTTAGGGAGAGACTGACAGTGAGTAAACAAGCAAGGCTCAAAGTTCATATGGAGAGAGAATCTCAGGAAATTAAATGCAGTAGAGTGTAAGGAGCAGTATCGTGTGGAAATCTCAAATAATTTTGCTGCTTTTGAAAACTTAGAAACTGATTTGGATATTAATAAAGCTGGGAAACTATTAGAATATCAAAATTTTTGCCAGAGAGAGAGTCAAGGCTGTTATGAACTGAAGAAACATAAGCCATTGTTCAAATAAGGATGCTCAAAATTATTAGACCAAAGAAAACAAGCAAAATTTCAGTGGTTACATGATCCAAGTGAAATAAATGGGGATAATCTGAACAATATAAGATGTGAAATGAGCAGGCATTTCAGAAATAAAAAGGGAATATCTGAAAGACAGAATTGATGAGCTTGCAATGAATGGTAAGAACAAGAACATTAGAGACTTGTATAGAGGAAAGAATCACTTTTAGAGGGTGTACCAACCCAGAAATAACTTAGTGAAAGATTATCTGCTTCCAGATTCCCACAATATTTTGAATGGGTGGAAGAACTACTTCTCTTAGTTATTGAATGTACATAGGGTCAGTGATGTTAGGCAGATAGAAATATATACAGCTGAGCTGTTAGTACCTGTTCCTAGCCCTTCTGAGGTTGAAATTGCTATTGCAAAACTGAAAAGGTATAAATCACCAGGTAGTGATCGAATTCTGGCAGAACTTATTCAAGCAGAAGGTGAAATATTACATTCTAAGATCTATAAGCTGATTCATTCTATTTGGAACTAGGAAATGGTCTGAAACAAGAAGATGCTCTATCACCAGTCCTTTACAACTTTGATTTAGAATATGAATTCAGGAAGGTCCAGGAAAACCAGGACATAACAGGAGGTTTGAGAAAACTGCATAATGAGGAACTTCATAACTTGTACTCTTCTGCAAGTATAATTAGAATGATCAAGTCAAGGAGGGTGAAATGGGCAGGTCATGTATCCCAAATGGGGGAGAAGAGGAATGCACATATTATATTGTTGGGAAAGCCAGAAGGAAAGAGACCACTAGGAAGAACAAGACATAGGTGGGTGGACAATATAAAAATGGATCTTAGAGAGATAGGATGGGTGGTATGGATTGGATTGATCTGGCTCAGGATAGGAACCAGTGGAAGGCTCTTGTGAACACAGTAATGAACCTTCGGGTTCCATAAAGTGCTGTGAAGTTCTTAAGTAGCTGCACAGTTGGCGGCTTCTCAAGAAGGGCTCAGCTCCATGAGTGAGTGAATACCAAATTTGAGACATGTTTTCAAAGTGTTCTGCACTGCAATTCTTGAAAATGATTTTCTGAAAAATACTTGCTATAATATATTTAGTATTACTAATTTTCTGGGCTTCATACATTACCCAGAAAGCTCACAATACTGTATGTGATATGTTAACATCAAAACCCTGAGAATTTTTATAAAAATTTGTTCTTTAAAATCCCATACATAATTATAGTATAGAGCATGATATACAAAATGTCAGAAACCTCTTATGTAAGCACAATATATCAGTTCTTTTATTCAACAGTTTTCCTAGTATGGCAGATTTATATTTTTTCCAGTGCACCCTGTAGGAGGCACAGAGTAGGATAAACAGTATTACATAATGATTGTTTGTAGACTTCTGAGAGGTATGTCTGTTTTGTTTTGCATTGTTCCCATGGCAACCATATTGATTCTTTCTGGTTTAGGTTACTTTGCATAGCTGTGACCTGTTTGTGAGATGGAGTCAGCCATGCAACAGGCCCAGACACTGAAAGTCAAAATATCTGTGTTTCTCTTGTTGCTGTCAATGTATCCATTGCTTGAAATGGCTTCCAGTAAGTATGTTGAAGGCCACCTGACTACAGCTGAGGTAAGATTCTTCCTCTGTTAAATGTGTTTAGGAAACTTTATTGGGAAATCATTTTTACAAACAGAATAAATGCAGACAGACATCCATGCCTTCAGTGGGATTCGAACACATGATCCCAGCATTTCAGTGGGCAAAGACATTTCGTGCCTTAGGCTATATGGCCACTATGATTGGCTTATTAGGTATTACCCAGTATTAAAGGGCATTTGAATGTTCGTAATCATGTTTGTGAAGAGGTCAGAAAGTGAATATTTTTGGCACTTTGATAACAGGAAAAGTGGAATTAGTGAAGAAATGAAAGTGAGGATTGCTATGACAAATTTATGTTATTGTTGTGGTTTAATATATACCTTAAACCTAGAACTGCAAACAGAATACCATAAATTAAAGTATAAAATTTAGTCTATTTTACTAACATATCTGTCAATAATACAACTTTAAAAAGACATTAGGAATATGTTGTTCATTAAAAATGCATTTTAATACTATGACAGTTAAAATCAGTAATATGCTCATAGGCTATTTTGTTAGCATATAAATTTACACATTAAAAGTGAATATCCACACTCCTCTAGTTGCCTTGGTTTTATGTAATTTATCTTCACAACACGTTTCATCCTCGTTGGGCCATCATCAGGTGAATTCTATCCTCGAGTCAGACCACTGCACTGTATTTGTTTCCCATGCTGCTCTCATGCACGTCGATATTTACTTCATGCTAGTTGTTAAATTTAATTTTTATCCAGCTATTTTGCGGCTGTTATCAGTTTGTAGTCATGTTTCCCTATGTCAGTGTTCCCCATTATTTTCTGCCAATATAATGAACAACATATTCCTAATGTCTTTTTAAAGTTGTTTTATTGACGGATACATTAGTAAAATAGGATAATGTCTCAATACAATGGGATGCTGAAATATAATAAAATTTAGTGTTAAGGCCAGCTATGTAGTGTGGATGTGAAACATGGTCCATCACTGAAAACAGAAGAAATATGTTGAATAAGCAGGAAAGGAGAATGTTCAAGATTTATGAACCGATAACTGATCAAGGCTTTTCAAGAAGTAGAGCAAACTACAAACTCTGGCAATTACATAAAACTGGTGATATAGTAGCAGATATTAAAAGGAGAACTTTGAAGCAGTTGGAGCGTGTGATTAGAAGGGATAAAACAAGGGTGGCTAAGAAAGTAGCTCAAATGCGAAATGCAAATGAGAAAGTCAAGACTGAGATGGCTGGGAGATGAGAGTGAGGTATGAGAGCTTCAAGTGAAGGCAAGAAGAGAATAACAGGTACCTGTCACAAGGGAGATGAAGGTTAGAGGAGGATTGAGCCAAGGAGTAAGGATGTGTAGTTTGATTTCTTCCAGATCATCGGTTGTTAGAATAGCCTTCAAAACATAACAGATTTATTTTAAAACACTCAGATTTAATTGTCACTCATATGGATGAACAGATGGCTCCTGGAATTATGCAACTTGTCCATTTTCTTCACACTGAAGGAGGCACATACCCTGGGAAAACAGACTCACATGTAGAATTTGAGTTCCACACAACAGTAGTTCTGGGATGTAACATCATGAAGTCTGTTGAAAGTCAACTGACGTTTCATGGGAATACATCACCTCCATCCTCAGGGTGAGAGAATAAGTGGTATAAGAAACCAGATCAAAAGCAGATTGCAGGCTCTGCAAAAAGTCTGATCAGTAGTTGATTTGTTATGTGTGACAATCCACAATATTTTTCTGTACATGTGAACTTAACTTTGACAGTAGGATGCTGAATAAAATTTCGTCAGTGACCTGTTTTACTATTGTGACCATACTGTCTGCATAACAAGAATATTGCAGGCTGTCCAGATTCAGGATATTCAAAGGAATTTGTCTCCAAGCATCAGAATACATTGCAAAAATCAGTTTCTCCTTTGGGGAATGAAAAGTAAGGTTTTTTTATGCCAGTCGACTGGGACTAAGTCCCTTGTACTGTGGCCACTTCTAGCCAATTGTACCAGCCCAAGATGATAGGTGAGGGTGATTGTGGAGCAATTGGTGGAATGAAGATTGGCAGGGGAAACCGAAGTACTCAGAGAAAACCTGCCCCAGTGCCACGTCCACTATGAATCCAACTTGACCAGACCCGGGATCGAACCCGGGCCGCTGCAGTGGGAAGCCAGCGACTAACTGCTTGAGCTATGGCACGGCCAATACTAAGGGTTGGTACAGATAACTGTTTATTAAGACATGTTTCAGTTTCAAAACTACATGTACTTGTCCTGAAGTAACATACAGGACCACTGCTTGTGTGGTGTTCCCACACTTGAGCTAGGCCTAATCTTGCAACAATGAACTGGTTTCTTGTGTTGAGTGTGCAGGCTTCTTGCTGCTCATTGCATTACTGAAACAAGTCTACACTTTGTTTACAGAACTGGGCATTTGTTGCACGTTTCTGCTTCCTGTCAGAAAAGGGCCAGTTTGAGTACATGATAGAGTATGAAATGGTGAGTAGCAGTAGCCATGTTACATGATAGCACTCATCAGCACTTTGTCCCTATTCCTAACCATAAATGAAGTCTCTTATGGCATTTTTTTGAAAAAGGTAGCTTTCCTTCATAATAAGCCAAATAAAATATGCTGCACACATGCTCGAATCCCGCATAGCAAGGAAGCAAACAGTGTTTAAATGGCTAATGTTATATGGACTGTATCCCCCGGTTTTATTAGATAAAAATAGCATCAAACAAAATGAATTCATGAGTGTTGAAGTTTTCATGGTGATGATTCTTATTATGTTCTGAGTAATGACACCATTTAGTCTAAAATGTGGCTATCAAGTTTCAGAGGAACTTGCTGCCTCCATTTTTAGGACATATGTGAGCGAATTTGAGAGAGTAGAAGATGGCTTAGGAGAGGTAGTGGGGGAAATGTCATGGAACATGGTAGTGGCTGATCAGACCCAGGGATGGACAAGAGGAGACATGGACCCATGGGATTTGTACACTTCCAGAAGAGGCAATAACTCTGTGACAGGAGTAATTTTGAAATGTGTATAAAATAGCAGGAGGCCCTGGAAGGGACATTTACAAAAGGGTCATAATAGAGGAAACCCCAATCAAGACTTGTCCTTCAAAAGGACCTTCTTGCTTTCTTTCAAGGAGTGAATGAGGGGCTCCTAATGACCTGCCCAGGTAGAAGAACAAGTCTCCTTCCTCTGTCCATAGCCCTTATAAGGTGCCTGCTGTAAAATTGCTCTTTCAGGGCCTTATTCATTTTATAGCCTCCCCCCCCCCCAACGCCCATTGTTCCTCTGTAGGAGCCTACCACAACACATCTCCAGGCCAACTACCAACTTCTGGTTGACCAGCAGAACAAAGCAAGTGCTAGCCAATCAGTGTCAACATCTATTGGACCTGGCACCACTAACAACAGTGGATAAATATGCAGACCACAATGCGATAGTCAGTCAGTTGGAGGTACTCTTCAAGACAGCATCTGGAGGGCACATGGCAATAGCGACCCCCCTAGCAGCAGCACCGCCAACTGACTCTGAATGCAGGCACTATGACCCTTGGGAAGCCCTCCGCCAGCACTTGCTGCTCTACAGCCGGCTTGCAATCACTCAGTTACTGAACATGGAAGACCACCAACGTGCACACAAGCCAACCCAATGCTGCCAGTGCCTTGCTGGCATTCATGAGGAGTTCACATGGTAGCCTCTCCTAATACCAGAACCAACGTCCCACACATCCCACATCCTATAGTTATTTCCCTTTTCAGGCCCTATGGTTCCCACAGGTTCTCCACAAACTATTTCTTCTTCCACATCACGTGTTCCAATCCTGTTTTGTTTGGTCTGTTTTCAACCCCCACCATTCATACATAATAGCTACTTTCCAAACTTATCTCACTTGTGCCATGAAGATGGAAGAAGTATGTTTCTGCAGTCTTTGGTAACTGCCTACCAGATCACATGGTTTATAACCCAAAGATCGCAATATGAGTATAAATTTCCATCAACTGTACACTATGCCACAAAATGAATCATAGTCTGTTACCCCAGTCATACTTCAAGCTTTACAGTGTCCATCCACACATGCACACACACTCACAAATTTGTTATAGTGTGATGGCTGGCACTGTATAGTTTGGATGTCTTAGATTTTAAACTCATTTTGGGAATTATATGGATATCCTGACCAAGGTTCCTTGCAGTATGAGTATTACTTGGCCTCTGCAGGTAAATTCTGCTGAGATGCTGCCTTAAAATAGATCACTGATGCTTCTTTCCAACTCCTCTAATGCCTGTTATTCAGTTTTCTATATTTCAGTGAGTTTTGCTACGTTTCATTGACCTACAAATGTTGCATCACTTTCCCCTGCAGGAATACGCTGTTCAGAACCTGCTGCTCTACCATGACGTAATCACCCAATGGCCAGGGGTGTACAAGACAGGCAAGGTGAGGATAGATAGCACTGCAGAGCCTAGTAGCACCTTCTAAGCCTTGGGGCAGTAAGTACTGTTGTGCTTTTCCCACAGACGTGTCTGGAGAAAGAGTCGGTCTTGAACGTGACACTTCACCAGGTGGTCAACCTCACCGCAGAGGGAACAGCTGGTCTGTCATCAGGCTGTGTGTTCCATAATAACAGCCAGCAGAAGAAGGGCTGGCTAAGTTGTCATGATGCGAGGAGGTTCCGCAGTGCCCGCGAGCGTTGGTGGTTTCTGGCCATCAGCAACTGCAATGCTACTAAGGTAACTAGCGTTGTGCACTCATAATCCTGAAGTAGTGAGAAGCTCTGATGACTTGCTCTGTATTCAGCAGAAGAATTGGAACTGTTCTCTTCAGGATTATGTCGAAAATGTTTATGGGGTAACTGGTAAATACGGTCAGAGCTTGAATCTAGCCACTCACTTGCATTCAAAATCAAGCTTTAGAATGCATGAAGCTCTTTCACCATAATTTCTATACACCTTCAGGAGCCGGGATAGCTGAGTCAGTATATTTGAGAGCTACTGCCAGGATTCCAACTTTATCATTCTTACATCACTGTCTCTGTGCAAATTCACCCACATATTAAAATTCACACTCTGAAGGCTCTTATTATTTACGTAACATGGCATGTTTCGGCCTAACTGACTGTTATCAACTACACTAGATTGTAGATGAAAACTACTGCTTTATTGTTATACCATTGCATTTTGAATTTTTCAAATAATGTAGAATGCTTATAAAATATTTAAATTTATTTTTTAGATTATCATGCCATGGTTATGTCTGGTATAAGTTATTATTTTGGTGTGTTGGTTTCTTTCCTTTGTGTTGTGTGTAGGTGGTCTGAAGTTGCACAGTGACATTGAACTGATAGTGCTAAAATCAGAATACACAGTGCAGCAGGATGCTATAGTGCAATATCATACTGACTGGGTGGCTGGGGTTTGATTCCAGAAGGGGAAAGAAAATTTTCTCTTCTCCACAGTGTCCATCCCAGCTGTGGAGCTCATAAATCCAGGCTCTGGGGCCTTACACACATCCTCATATCAAATGGACACTGTGGGCTCTTCCTCCAAGGATAAACCAACCAGGGTGTGAAGCTGACCTCTTACCTCTGTTGAATGCCCAGGTCAAAAATAGCTATACCTTCATTCCCCTTACATCTATATAGTGTATATGTATAATTCGTTAGAGGTTCAATTTTGCCTTTACCATCTGTTCTTCATCACAAGCACCCAAGAGCCCTAGCATAGTCTAGTTCACCGTAGCGCAGAACGCATTGTAATGTGACTGTTGCAGTGGTGCAGTCGGAACAGTCTTCCTGCCATGGGACCCTAGCATGTGAACCCTGTGGGAAGGAATCCCAGTGTATATCTCTGAACTTGTCCATCTGATTGTGACAGAACTTTCATGGCATACAGTAGGTAGTGTCGGATTTGATGTGTAACCACGTCATGTGTTGAGATTGTTCCAACGTTTTGGCATACATTACATTTACTGTGTTCGAGGTGAAAGAAATGGAAGCAGGATGTGGCCCAGTATGTATTATAGGTCTCACAGTGGAAGTAAGGTTGATGTGTGAAACATGGTGCCCTCCAATGGAAAAGGACCCTTTGATTATTGTCACATGTTAGTGACTACCTACAGGATTCAGATTGACAGTTGAATTTATTTAATACTTGTAACTCATAACTACAAATTGCTGCAAGACTGCCACTAGTCTACACACTCTACAAATCACTATAACACACTGGGCCATCTCAGTTTCCGGCTCCATCAGTCGTTGCTTGGTAGCGTCTTCTACAATGGAGATTTTCCTGCTTCCATGCTCATGGCTAACCACCAGTGACTAGTGCTGACTGCCGATTAGCAACTGGTTGTTCGACCTCCGACATCCTACAGTTCCTCAGTTGTTGCATGCGTATCAGTTACAGCGGAAACGGCAAGGGCCATCTTTTCTCGTTTCACACTTTCGGCTTTCAGGTGTCATGTTGTATAATGAATAAAATTTAGAAGAAGAAGATTTAGGGCAGATTTTAACTGTATCAGGTGTTGAAGTCAGGTCCATGGAAGCCAACGAAACAGACACACCCAAAACTTCATCATGAAGACAGATATAAGCTGAGTATAGTTTGGGCTCACCTGTCTTACCCAAAACCTTCTTTACTATGGGGTCCCTTTCCATTGGGAACTGCCATGATCCATGCCCCACTGTTACTGGCATTTCAAGACCTATAATATTGTGACACGACGGCCGAACGAATAGGTGCAGCCATTGCTAGACAATGGCACGATAAACTCTTCTCCACAGCAACAAATAAATATGCAACAATAGATGACGCAGTGTTTTCTATGTAGCCATTGCTGGCTAATTGCATGGCGAAAACGTGTCCGCGGCAACGAATGAACATGCACCAGTGGAGGAATAGTTGGAGGTGGTGTCTTTTACACGGTCCTTTGGAAAATAAAATTACTGGTCGTGAGTCTCAAGGGGCTTGGGGCTTGTCCTCCCATGTGGAGTTGTAGTGGGTGATGGAAATCTCTAATCTGACACAGTAAAATATGGTGTTAGTCCCAAAGGACTCGGACATGAGAATGACTGTGCTGGTGAGAGCCAGCAGCAATTTTAAATGACAGACCTGTCCTCTCATCAGAGAAAGGCCCGGAATCAACAAACCCGCAACTGTCTGACTAATAGAAATGTGGTCATAAGCCCAGATGGGTGCTTTATTCCAAGATAGACTGGCCAACGGACCATCAGGTTTAACATAATACTCGACGTGAAGGGACTTGTTGCCAAGATGAACTGATGGGCGGTAAATCGCTAGTCCTAAAGTAACTCTGACTCTCACATTAATCCCCCTAACCCCGTGTGAAGGCAGGTTCGAATACCTCCACAATAGCCCTGCTAGTCGTAGGAGGTGAAAAAATGGAACCCACTGCCTGGAGTTATAATTGTGTCACCCTGTTCCTGGGGGATATAAATACAGGGACCCTCAAGTTTGGGGGAGTCTTGAATCTGAGACTGTCAAATGTGGTCATGAGCCCCATGCGACAGCTTGTTTGCGGAAAATTATTTATTCATTTGAGAGAGAATTTTATTTGGTGGTATGCAGAAATCATCTAAATTTTTACTAGAAATTATGGCACTAGTGTCATCAGCAAATATTATGGGTACTGATGAGGTGTTTAGTGAAGAGGCAAGTCATTTACAAGTATATAGATTATGAAAAGCAATCTTATACACCTAAAACATAATTTTGAAAACTATATATTTGTTAGGGCATGCACTAGCGTAGTTGGTTGAGGCAGTATGATACAAGCCAAAAGTTGTGGGTTTGATTCCTGATGAGGTCATTCGTTTCTTCGATTGATCTAAACTTCCCGTTGCACTCTAGCCCTGGGGTCGACTTGAACTGCAACAGATATGAGTACCAGGAATCTTCCTGGGGTAAAGGGCGTCAGCACGTAAAACTCACCCTCACCGACATTTATGAGCTGACTGTCTAGAAAATGTGGGAGCCTTCACATCTCACAACCCTATGGGCCTCCACATCCTGTTACAAGGATATGTGTACCTTTTTTTTTTATACATGTGTTAAGTTGTGTAAGAAATTTGCATGACAATAATTCTCACATTGAAGTTGTGATATTCAAAGTGTGGAACATGGCACCTGCCCCCCCCAGGTGGAATTTTTGTAAGGGGGGAGGGATATTCTGGGAAGGTTATGTTGTAAAACTGAATCATAGTTGTCAAAATGTCATAACGTTTGTAAAATCTTCATAAATAAATGCTATGAGCCTAAATGTGTTTAGTTTTAAAATGGAAAGGTGAAAAATCTATTGCTAAAATACCACAGAAAATTAAGAAAAGGCTGTTGTGAAATTTTTGCTAAGTTTAATGGACCACAATCACATACATTTTGGAAACCACTGCATTAAGAGATGGACATATACTGATGGTGCCTGAAAACAGAGTCTTGATGAGAATGTTTGGACTTCACAGGGCGAAAGTAGCAGGTGGTGGTAGAAAATTGCATAAAAGGGATCATTATAATTAACAGTTCATACCAAAGTTTATTAGGATGATCAAATCAAGGATGATGTTATGGGCATGGTATATAGCATGCATGTAAGAGAAGTGCATAAAGTTTTTGTAAGGAAAATTAAAGGAAAGAATCCACTAGGAAAACCTAGACATAGATGGGAGGGTGATATTAACATGAATCATAAAAAAAGAGGATTATAGGGTGTGGACTGAATTCATCTGGCTCAGGATAGGAACCAATGTTAAGCCATTGTGAACATGGTAATGAATCTTCACGATGCTGAGAATTTGTTGATTAGCTGAGCAACTGTTAGCTTCTCAGCAAAGACTCCATGGAGATGGTTATAAAGTGATGGAACAAAACAGTAACACAGAGACATACACAGTGATTCTGTTGCAGGGACTGAACTTGCGATACAAGTTTCTGATGACAAATGGCCCACCTGGGGATTACTGGCATGAACACTTCTCAGCTGATGAATTCTGTGAGTGAGTAGTTTATACAATGAAAGGAATTTGTCAACTATACATTGCTGTTCTGTAGGAAGACGTTTATTTCATAATATACAACTTTCCCTGGTATGAATCCAATCTTCATTACCTATGTACAAGTTTTATTGGACAATACATATATTGAGAATAGTTCTTATGAGGTAAGGAGGACCCACACAGCATAGATTTCCTTAATGAGAAGCTGATAATGTTTTAGTTTTGTTTATGTGGACCAAAAATAAGACTTTGCATGAAGACTGTCAAACCATTATTCATTTGTAGATACAGAAGTAAGAATATTAGTGGGGACATACAATAGACTATTAGTCACGGTGCATGGGGAAACCCGCCCCCTTCAATCTATATAAATAAGAATGTAAATGTTCGTTTGAGTCTTACCTAAGATCTCCGAAACTTCTTCACCAATCGCTTCGAAATTTTGACCCAACGTTGCATTTGAACACCCGCATGTTTCTGTGTGCCTATTATATAGATGTCACACCCATGACAGGTAAAAACAGGTAAAAACAGGTAAAAACCTGCCACATGTTCTGAATCGAGCAGTCGTTTCAATTGTAACACTAGAACAGTTAGAGTATACTTCCATGGAAACGCAATAACAGTTTGCCGTTGCTAGCATTTCCTAAGCAACGGATGAAACTAACTCTTCGATAAGGTATTCCCTATCCCGTCCGAGCGCTGGCTATATGTATAAGAGAGTTTAGCTCCGGCGACTGTTCCGTATCACGAATGTCTCGAGTATCACGAGGTCACAAGTATCACAAGAGATTCCGAGTGAAATCACAGCATCCGCCGAGGTATAAATAGCCCACCTCGGACAAGAAGCAGTCAGTCTCAGGGCAGATGCCAATGGATACAGAAGAGAGCCTGGAGGTAAGCGCCGAAGGAGTTAGTCTTGGGATCACCAACGCCGAATATAAACAGTTTCGATTTATTTTCATTTTGATCTAATTTTTCGTGTGAGACTGAGCCACAGCAAGGCGTGGCCAGGCACAGCTAGTAATAATAATAAGAATTTTTGTACTTGTATATAAGACACTTCGTGTACCAGTATCATCTTGTGGTAGTGAAAGGGAAGACCTTATGAGACAAGACTGATGTCACAGAAACATATTTCTTGAGACCTGCAAGACACACCCTTTTGGACCATAAGAATACTAAGGAATTTTTGAGAGAATTAGAAATTCCACAAATTAGAAAATTCATACAACATTACAGGACCGATGTGAAATAACAGGATGAAATCTGATGGGATTCTAAAAAATATCATGAAATACCAGCCCAAAGGAGAGAGAAATTTGGAAAGAACTCTGAAATGGTGGATAGACTCTGTTATGTAATGTCCATAACATGTCTCTGCACTGGAATGGATTGTTGTTATTGTTGTCATTGTCAGTGGTGCTGCTGTTGTTGCCACTGTCATCATTATTATATGATCTCATATTATATATTTAAATTCCATAACTAATTTTCATATTTTAAATAACTTTTTATAGCTGACCTGCAGTAAGTCCTAGCCACATAATTTGAAATGTGTTATGAACCAGTTTGGGTTGTGCCATTGCATAGCCTGCCTTCCTTTAAACATTAATGCTGCTGTCCTTCTGAGTATTCTTGTTCTGTCCGTTCTTTTTATATGGCCAAATCATTTAAATTATTTATCTTCTGGTTCTTTTAGCAAATTTTGAATTCCAACCTCTCTAAAATTTCATTTCTATTTCTCTCCCTTCTTGTCACATTCCTACGGCTTTTGAAACATTATCCAGGTACACAATGTACCTTTCATTCTCTCTTGGTTCACACAGTCTGTTGGCTACATTGAATGGGGTCTTATGTTCTGTGATACACTCGTGAAATATTTTCGTGCCATATTAGCATAGCTCTCCTGTCATGTACATTCAGAAGTACCTTCAACATTGAAATGGAAATACTGAGCCATGCCATAACTCAGTCAGTCAGTCATCAGCTTTCCAACATGGCGGCCTAGTATGTGAGATGTGTGGTGGACAAAGTGGCACTGGGGCAGGTTTTCTCTGAGTAATTCAGTTTCCCCTGCCAATCCTCATCCACAAACTGGTTCCACATTTATTAATAATTCTACCATCCGATGCTATACAGTCTTGATCCTGACATCATCATTAAATAACTAATTTAAGAAAATGGACACTTAACTACATCAGTTATCACAGATTTGTCTGGTATGTATAACAGTAAAAGGTAAGGCTATCCCTGTAATAGGGCATGAAGGCCCATTGGGTTGTGAGATGTGAAGGCTCCCACATTTTCTAGACAGTCGGCTCACAGGTGGCAGTAAGATTGTGAGCCTTACATGCTGGCTGCCCTTTATGCCCCAGGAAGATTCCAGATACTAATTTCTGTTAGAGGCTGAGTTGAACCCAAGACCATAATGTGGCTCAACCAACTGCGCTACTGTGTTCCCCCTCTGGCATGTATGCATTCTGATATTTCAAGTTCATGTGATCTGTAGCTTGGTCATGGCCTTGTTGATTTCTGTGAATTCAATTAATGTTGATATTCATGTGCAGGGTGTGAGGAAGACAGCGCTTATTTGGACAGTAGGCTGTGTGGACAGATTGTACATCTTCAGAACTTGATTCAATAAGAACTTGGTTCTGCAGCACAGTCAGGCTGTAAGGTCTCTCAGAGTACCAACTATCAACATAGGAGAAAATCCTCCTCAAGAATCTACTAGTCGCTCAATCAAATTTTTATGTAATCCAGAGGTTCATTACAGTGTTCACAAAGCCTGTCAGGTCCATGGTTATGTGTCATGTTTCATAACATGCTGGCTTTTGTTACAATGAGGGCTTGTTAGCCTACCTGACCAACCTACAAGCTGAAGAATCACTCCTTGTTGGCTGTCCAAGGCTGTTTATTCCGTACATTGACACTGACTCCCATACCTGGAAGCCACATCCTCCATCCACAACCCGAGGATTCACCATGTCATGTTAACCACACACCTATTTCTCCACTAACATTGATACACTTGTCCTATCACTTTACCAATGTGTTAAAACCTGCAACATAGAAGTCCTTTGGCTGTTGTCTCAGCCACTTCTGCACCTCTGTTGCAACCTCTTCAACCTTGAGAGATTTCTCACCCAGTTGTGAACCACTTTGTGCGTTAAACACTTCCCACTGTAAACAGAAAATATTTCTCTGTTAATATCCTTTGCATTGAGCCCTTCCCCCCCCACACACACACACACACACAAGACAGCACAACAGACCGCTACTCTTCGGTAGTATACACTCAAGCGTGGTCTCCATATTGACTAGTGAAACCAGCCTCTGAACATGTGCATGCGCGTCTGCTACCTAGACTGTCATGAAGCTGGACTGTGCTGCTACCTAGTGATACACATAGGAAACCTATTGTGTCCATTACAGCTGTTTTATTTCCATTTATGACCCATTTACTGACTCTCCCTCGTATATTCAAGAATAATTCTACAGATGATTCAAGTCTCATTGACATTCAAATGTAAATACCAACTAGAATTTCAAAGCATCTTTTTAGATCATCTGCACTATTGTTGTCTTCCATTAGGGCCTATTGGAGATGCTCTGTAGAGTATTTTACAGTACTCTCAGTACCTAGATTATGCAGCACTGAATGGTAAGGTAATGCATGACTGGTGAGTTGGAAAGGATTTGTAAGGAAACAGTTGTGGCCTAATCAAGTTACTGTCCTGGAATTTTCCCAGAGAGAATGAGCAATACCATGAAAAATTTGGTCGGGATTTGAACCTAGGTCCTCCTGAATATGAGTGTAGGGCCTTACCACTAAACCAACCCATGTGGTCTGTAGTAGAGGTAATTAACACCATAATATTGTGACGTGGACAGCACAACGCTCGGTAAACACCCCCCCCCTTCCAGCGGTGACATAACAGCACCAGAGCAACTGGCGCTGCTGCGGTAACAGGCCAGTCAACACTCTGTCCCCCTCCCCCGCTGTGATGTAACAAGGGGACACCGCTGGTAACACATTGCAACAAGGAACGGTATAAAAAGCCAGCTGAGCAGTATGTGAGGAGAGTATGTGATCAGTAGTGAAACAGTGTGGATCGTGAAGTTGCCGAGTGCAGTTGAAGTCTAGCAGTCATTGAGTCTAGTTGTATCGAGTGAATGGAAATGACTACAGGAGAAGTATTTGTGGTACTGCCGATGGCAGTAACTGTGAAACTGTGAATTGTATAAGTGTATGAGCGAATGTGCAATAAATTTGCTAGATCCAGAATGGCATGAAGTTATTTGTCACGTGACATACACCCAACATGTGACAATATGTTGGGAAAGCAAGTGACAAAAACTGATAATGGAAGTGGGGATGGAGATAATATGTAATGAGAGATAGTTTGAAATATAGCTCAGATGGATTAAACAACAAAAAGAATTTCTGTGGGGAAACTTCTTAGAAAGCAGTCATCATGAAGGCCAAGAGATATTTGTAAGGGTAATAGTAAAGTTCTTTTCAAGACTGTAGGATGTGGTGAAGTTTAATATGCTGGAGTACAATAGGATCCAAGAGCAAGAACCTCAGATAGTGGTGTGAAATTTTAAGTTCTGATGCCAGGGTCATTGTTAAGAAAATTGTAATAGAAGTTATATGAACTGATGAAGTTATAATTGATAATCATGCCTGCATTCAACACTTTCTTCAGCGGGTATATATTGGTATACACACTGACATATAATTGGTGCACACCAGCAAACACATCTGCCAGTCTGTTGTATGCTTTAATCATAAGGTTAAAGCTGGCAGGCATGTTTTTAGGAAGAAAGCACTGATGATATTTAGTTATGCCGATCTTGCTTAGCTGCAAGAGTTTACTGTGAGTGCAGGCTCTGTTATTTTTCTCCACTGTATTCTGTTATATATTTTCAGATTTTCATAGTAAGCGTGTTCAGGCTGTGTTCTGCTGGGTTGTGACATCATTTAATATTATTAGTTGCTATTGATACTTTGGAGAAACACATTGCCTCCATCTTCAGGGTCAGAGTGAATGGAGTGGTTATGTGGTCAGTTGAAATAAACTTCGAAGATGGAGACAGCATGTTCCTGCAAAATGTTGGTATGTACATACAATGCTATATGGTGTCACATCACAGAAGGCCATAACATGAACCATATTTCTGTGTTAGCTGACAGTAAGATTGTCATCCACAGATATCTTGCCGAACCTGATGGCATCCTGCATTGCATACCTGCTGATGATTCTGGCCATTGTGATGTGCACAGGTGAGGCTTGTGCTGTATTCAGATATTTTAGTTCGTTAATGCAAACTACACATACATCTGCATCACTGCAATTTAGTATTTATGAGGAGTATTGTCTCTGCTCTGTTATGAATGTACCATTAACCATTCAAAGCATCAAGTTCACATAAATAGGTTTTACACAAATTCACTTCCAGCCTCACAGAAAACGTACTGAATCTCCATTACAAAGATCAACTACTTAATACTATTTAAATAAATAATTTTTATTGCGAAAACCACACAAAATTCATGAATAAAATGTTGGACAAAACTCAGAGACTTTTAATTTTAAGGATTGTGTTACTTATGTAACGAATGTGCTTTAAACCATTGAAAGTTCTGTATATGCTCAAGTTTCTATCTTGACGTGTTTAAATGCAAAAACAACATTTTAGCTAGTAAGGATCATCTCACTGAATGTCATGGACAAGCGAGTAGCACTCTGCCTGCTGCTTGAGAGAACCTGGCTTCAAATCTCAACTCAGAGGCAGGCTATCTTTACAAGGGTTTGTTTTTGCTTTCTTCAGTCACTTCTGGCAAATGCCAGTATTGTTCTTCAGATTAAGCCATGACCACTCCATTCCACTCCATTATTCACTAATCAGTCTATCAATGGACACCACATGATCTAAGTTATTGGAAGCATCATTAAAGGAACCATAAATGAAATAATAATATTACTGTTGCATGTGTTGTAGTGGAGCTGAAGGCACGGCAACTCTTCCACATGACATACAAACTGTTTGTTGCCTCTGTGCTGCTCCAGGAGTTGGGGAACATCCTTCAGAGTGCAGCATACATAAAGTATGCACTTGATGGAATTGGCTTTCCCAGAACGAAGACCCTGGGTGAGCTCTGGTACTTCTTGATGTTTTCTATATTTTTCTAAATCACACTGAAAAAGCAAAAGTATCATGCAGCAACTAGTATAGAGTAACTGGAAGGGAAATGAATATTTTTATTAGGAGCTAAAGCCAAGATAGCTCAGTCAGTATAGCAACAGGATACAGGCTGGACAACCACGGTTCAATTCCTGACAAGGGAAAGAGACTTTTCTCTACTTCACAGCATCCAGACTGGCTCTTGGGCCCACCCAGCCTCCTATACAGTGGGTATTGGAGTTCTTTCCCCGGGGAGTAAAGCGGCCTGGGCATGAAGCTGACCACTCTCCATCTAGTGCCATGGTCAAGAATGGTGGAGCTATACCTCCATTCCCCTATATTTTTTCATGACATAGTGAATAATTAATTAATCACAAAGACAACTTTACCTTTTGCTGTAGTGTAAAGCTGGTTTCTTACATAGTTACATGAGTAAATTTCATGTAAACATATATATATATTTTTTTAATTTCTTTCATTCTGGTCCATCACACTAACAGGTTTACAGTTAAGTTTATTTCAGTCCAATGTGACATATAATGCTTCCACCATTTTAGCACTTAGTTACCCAACATGTTTCAATTCATAATGAATCATAATCAGAGGTATGCCTCTACGATCAGGAACCCACTAATACTTAAAAGAGTAGAAACACTTAAAACATTTATGATGCTCACTATACGTAGTTGTTGATTTTTGTCGTATAGCCGTTGACATAAAATTATTTTTGTGATAAGAACGTTTTTGAATTGTATTACTTAGAAGTGCTGTAGTTGGAATCAATTCCCTAATGGATAATTAAAAATGTTCCACGTATTTTATATAAAAAATTAAATTTGTTTCACCACAGCAGCCTTCCTTATGTTAAAATTATGTTTATGAGTGTGTGTATAAACTTATTTTAAGATAAGAATTTTACTCGTGAACCAATGTGGGTTGGTTTTGCCTCCCTTAGTACAAGAATTGTCGTCTATCCCTTGGTGGTGTGTTCTTGTTATTAATGGTGTGGTTTGTATGCGTGCTGTGCACATGTGTCAATTCTTTTTTGTTTAGAATCAAAAGGGTTCTGGCAATGTGTATAACACTCAAAATTACTGGAGTTTTGGACTTTGGCCATCATCCGGAATTCTCAAAACTAGAGAACACAACGTTTTGGAAGCTTGATCTGTTTCCATCCTCACATACTCTGTTGGTCCAGTGACTGAGGTTAGCTCTTTCTAAGAGACCCAGTGGAGTAGGTGTCCCCCCCCCACCATAAGGTGGAAACAGAACCTGTTTCTGAAACATTGTATTCTCTAGTTCTTAGCATAACAGATGATAGGCAAACTCCAAAACCCAACTAATTCTAAGTTTTTTTTATTTCATAAGCAGAACAATTTACTCTCCCTTTGATGTAAATTGACAGTCGGGATTGCCCACCATATGTGTTTAAGTTTTGGTATGTTGACAATTGTCAATATAAAATACAGTGACTCCCATTATACACAATTTCATCATCCATGTTTTCTCATATCATCAATATTTCAGTGTGTTGAGCATCATTGTCCCATCTGCAGCCACAGTAGACCCTGCCATGCATGGTCAGTGACTTGTGTGTCCAGTTCTCCTGACTCACCCAACCATTTTGACTCAGTCATGTCCTTTCCTACTCTTTATCCATCATTTTCAGTGCACATTCAGTGCCCTTCTCTTTTGCACATTTTTTACATTCATAGCTATTTTCAGGAGTGCAACCCCCACGTACAAGTATAATGAGAGCCATCTGTACTGTGCTATTACAGATTTTTCAGTGCAGGTCTTAACAGTTTGGCTTATCCTGACACACAAAAGTTCTGCCATTCTACATTGTTTCTAGTGAGCACCCTCTTAACATTTCGTAGATTACAATGTAGAAGATCATATTTAACAGTGTGTAGGTCACACCCCACTTATCAGACCACTTGCTTTCGCAGGCCGCGTGTGTGAGTCTGCTAGTGAGATTGTGTACCTCCTCCTCTTACTTCTGCTGGCAAAGGGCTTCACAGTCACACGTGGCAGGCTGCGGCTGGCCTCTTCCATCAAGCTCACCATCTTCATGTGTCTGTACGTTGTGACGTACACTGTTCTCTTTGTGTATGAGAGACAGGTGGGGCACACACATCATTCATCTCCAACAAAGTTTAGGCCAGCCAGTACATTATAAACTTAACTCTCTACTATACAGTCACATATGTCAGTGACTAAGATGCGGGTTTGGATTGGTAATTGGACTTTTTAACAACCTACAGGCTGTGTTATTTTTTTTTATTGCTGGTAGGGTGTGACTAAGTGGGACTGTGGCCAATTCTGGCCTATGGTACCAGCCCCAGATGATAGGTGAGGGTGATTGTGGAGCAATTGGTGGAATGAAGGTTGCCAGGGGAAACCGAAGTACTCAGAGAAGACCTGCCCCAGCTCCACTTTGTCCACCACAAATCCCACTTGACCAGACCCGGGATCGAACCCAGGCTGCCGTGGTGGGAAGCCAGCGACTAACCGCTTGAGCTATGGCACGGCCATACCTACAGGCTGTAACTACAAATAATTCTAATACTGTTTGTTATTTTCACACTTTGAAGCACTCCACACTAATCTCTTCAGTCTATCTGCACTAGTCTTCATGGATTTATAACACAGGAACTATAAAAGTCTCACTGAATCACACACTCCCAATATAGCTGCACTATAGCACACATAAAGTCTTCAAATCACACATTAAATCTTCACAGGCTAAATTCTTGTTCTCTTCTGTACTCCTGAAGCTTACTACTTGCTTGTTTATGTGCTTCTGTCACTGCTACTACTCATAACTGTTGTACTCCTCCAGCTTACTGCTATCACCTTGTTTGCATGCTTCTGCCACTACTACTCATTCATAACTTGCAACTGCCGTATTCCTCCAACTTACTGCTATCCTCTTGTTCATGTGCTTCAGCCACTACTACTCACTCATAATCGCTCTGAATGAATTCTCTCACTCTTAATTATATAGCCACAGGACAGACATACACCTACAGTAAACACATACCACGTGATCGCTATCCAGCCAGTCTATTGGCACGTTGGTCAGATATACAGAAAACACAGCTTCCTCTACTGTTGCTTGTTGGACCGTGTTTACAGAGCTGTTGCCTGGCAAAGTGTTGATCAAATCCGTTACAGTATGTTAGACACTGCCCATCATTTGTTGCAAGCAGTGATTCTGGAGTTGTCTTTTTCTTGTCTTCATATGATCAGTTGTTGAATTGATCAACCCTGGGGTGATCTAGTGATTAGCATACTAGCCTGTTATTAAAAATGTGTGGGATTCAATCTCAATCGTGGCTTGTAATATAAGAAAATAATAAAATTAATAAAAATTTGTAGGTGTAGTGACAAGCAGTCACTTTGAAAACAGGAGACAGACAACTGTGCAAGTGTTTTGTATATCAGGTATACCTTAGAAAATGGCCAGTGCCTATCACAGCTTTGGTATAATGAATCAATCACTGTCAAAAAACTTTAAAAATAAAAGAATGCATCCCTCTCTTACCAAAAGGCTTTACATTTTATACGCATATTTGGCAAAAGTAATATTTTATGAATGTTGATGTGCAGAGCAGTACAGTGACAGAAGTTTAGCGGTCTCATTGTTTGTAATGACATGCAGAAATGTTACTTCTGCCCTTGTTTCCTTTGGCTTATACCATTAGGTATTTCTCCTTCTTCTTCTGTCAGTGTTTCCACTAATATGGGTCATCTAACAACCAAGACTCTTCATCTGTCTTTGTCTTCCCAGAGCTTGTCCTCCTGGGTTTTCTCCTACGTTCTTCCTTCCTTCTCATGACATCTATCCTAACCTGTTATTCCCACCATCAATTTTCACATTAGAGAAGGAATCCCTGTCCACTGCTGCCCTCTCCTTGACACTTGCCCTGTTTGGGCTCTACCATCTTCATCCTGTCACAACGCAGTTCAGTCACATTAAGTATGAGGTTCTCACACCACTGCATATGGGCAGTACTGTGTTTTAAGATGTGATGTGTACTGTAATCTGGTATAAATTTACCGATATTTTGGAGGGACTTGCTGCCTTCACCTTCAGGGTAGGAGCATAAGTCAAGGAAGCAACAAGCAAGAAGCAGAATGAGTCATGCTAAGGAAACTTGGTCCTGGAAAGTGACCCAGAGATGACAGAGCTAGGGGAATACGAGTAGTTACTAATGCTGGCTCCGAACCGGACCATATTTGGAGGATGGAGAGATGTGAGCAAGCAGGAGAAATAGTGGCTTCACTGACCACTGGGAGGTATGGGTGGACCTTGCAGAGTAACAGAGTGTAGTGAAAATGAGAAGACAGGAACTGGGGAGGAGGGGGTTTGGAGGAAATCTCAGATAGATGGGTACTCTGGAAAGGACAGTGTAAAACAGGTCTGACAGCTGGCTTGGTTCACTGGATCGTTAGAAATCATACAGAGGAGCTTTTTGCATTCTTCTAGAGAGTACAGGAAAGGTTTCCAACAGCTCTCCAGACAAGTGCAGCTTTAACCACAGCAGCACATGGGAGATCCCTAGTTCCTCAGTTAGAACCTCAAAATATAATGTGACATACAGACCCATTGCCAAATAACACAAGTGTTAACAGCAATGGCTGTTGCTAGGGAACAGCGCTGTGGACAGGTTTCCCCAGCAACAAGGGAACAGTCTGAACAGAAACCTCAGTTAGAACCTCAAAATATAATGTGACATGTAGACCCATTGCCCAGTAATGAATGTGTTAACAGGCAACAGTGCAACAGCTGTTGCTAGGGAACAGCTCTGTGGATACGTTGTTTCCCCAGAAACAAGAGAACACACAGTAATGGAAGAGACTCCTTCTGTGTTGTCCATGCCAGGACTATATAATGAGGACAGTTGAGAGTTTCAGTTGTGAGAAGTGAGAGGCTGGTAGCTGAGGTCAGGGAAATTTGGGGGACCCAGAGGAAGGGGAACCTCCACCATTGAAGCCACTACCAAGCAACGGCTAGTGAAGACTGAGAAGATTTTATGTGTGCTTTAGTTACAATGGTTTTTGGAGTGTGAGACTGTCATAGTTATTTGTAGTTTCTTTCTGTATGTGTTCAGTAACTCCAATTACCAATCCAAATCCTGTCTGTAGTCACTCATGTGACAGTATGATTCAGTGCTCATAATATTTCTTCTCAGCAACATAGATTCTCACATTTTTTTGACAGAAACAGCCATTCAGCTTTCTTTCTTTCTTTCCTTTCCATACAGTTCTTTGATCCTGGAGAGGTACTGTACCTGTACGAGTCTCCGCCTGGTTATGGAATTATCTTCCTGCGCATCATAGCTTGGTGGATGTTCATGTACTCCACCATATTCACACTCAAACACTATCCAGAGAAGGCAAGATTCTACTATCCATTCAACATCGTGGGAACCTTGTGGTGAGTAACAGTCCACATAAATATGGGCACAGTGTGGGGCTGCTTCCTGTATAGTCATGATTTCTGGGGCAAGATGCAGGCACCTGATAGTATGTTCCTTCTGTTGGCAGGTTCATGGCTGGTCCATTATTCATCCTGGCTGCAAATAATCTCATAGACAAGTGGGTAAGAGAGAGTGTTGTTTGTGGCGTGCTGCACATCATTGCTCTAGTTGGCCACATCTTGTTCCTTGTGAGTCATGAGTGTCTATAGAGAAACAAATTCATATATTAAGAATACAGTCTTCTGGAATTGGACCCCCATATTGTGTCATGGGGATTTACGAGTTTTTTGGAGAAACCCTTCATTTTCAGTGTTAAATTTGACGCCATGCATTCCTGTAAGTGGATACCAAAAATTTCACTATGCTGCTTCAACTTTCAGAGTCATAATCCTTAAAACATCCATCTTTTCTCACATTTCCATTTTCCTTCTCTGATAGACATAATGTTTTTGTCCTGGAAAGGATTTATTTTTTGTTCGATGTTTCTTTTAGCTCAGTTGAGGTTATGTCTCCTCTCTCCCTCCCCTTTGAATGTGAATGGGAGACCATGGTGAGTGTTGAATTTGGAGATTTACAGTATAAAAGATTATTAACGCCATCCAGTATACTGATAAATGTTGTGGTTTTTAATCTTTCCTCCTTTACATGTTTCAGTCAGAGTGACCATCTTCAGTAGGACATTATCAATACATGCAGAAACTACTATTACAATGTCATTGGTCATTATCAGTACATACAAACACTACTATTGCCATGTCATAACTATAAAATATTATCCTGTAACAATTACTGCCATGAATGTATTAAAGCATTTATAAATAATTATAATTAGTCTATTTACAAGTATGGTTTAAAGAACTTATTGTTATAATCTAGAATCAATTTGGTTCTTATCCTTTATACTTGTTCTCTTTAAAGGAAGATGAATGTATTCCATGTCATGATCCCATTGTTTGAAGAATAGGACTCTGCAAATATATTATGGGTACTTTTTACCTGTCTTATTGCATTTTCTGTTTTGTATACTAATTGTTTTATTAACTTTTTTGGTGTAATACCCATATTATGTAAGATTAAAAAGCACAACATTTAACAATCACACTGGATGGCATCAGTAGTCTTTTATTCTATTACCAGTGTGATGGATAAGGATGGATAAGGATGAACCAAGTCAAATTTATTGGAGATTTAAACATTACATCAAATTTGTGCAGTTATCTTGAGAACCCTAAGACTTGCAGGAAAAGTGAATTGAATGTAAGACATGTGTTTCATATTGGTCTACAGGTTTTTTTTTAATATTTTTTCATTCAAATAAATATTTAGCACAGTACACTCAAAATGGATGTAGAAACACATGTAGGACTTTGTGTAAAATGGTCACTAAAATTGTTCACTGCAAATAAAAATTTAAATACTCAACAGCCCTACATAAATTCACCAGTATCAAATTTCATGAAAATCTATTTTGTGAGTGTCTGTTATTTCATATGTACAGAATGTTGAACAACTTGAGCGAACTTAATAGGTGCTGTGCAGGGTTGCAGATGCACCTAAAGAGGTATGCAGATAATTCATAAACCGACTAATTTGCGCATGGATAATTGAGAGCGTTCCACATATAATGATCAGATGGTGGGACGTGTAACCACAGTTAAATGCATTTTGCGTTGATTCAGAATATTTATTGTTATTTAGAACACTACAGTATGCTGCAATTGAAATTGCTAAAATGGTATGCTAGGAAGCGTGTAAATAACTGTGCCCATTACTGTGTGATGAAACAACTAGTCAGTAGGTTGCAGTTGTCTGATATATGACATTCTGTGCTCATTCCAGTGCCTCACACTGCCATCTAGAGCAAACAAAGTTTTCCCTTACCACGTTCGGACAACTCAGATAGGAGTCCTGCAAGTGCAGGATGTCATGGACTCTGATACAACGTTTCCATTCAGACATCACCAATATGCACCTTCAGCACCACCACGACCACGCCAAAATGTACACCCACTGGTGGGTGAGTGGGTTACAGATGTGCCACTAGAGCTGTTTACTATCAGCCAGTCCGTTACTGTGGATCCAGTGAGTGTCATTTATGCCATCACTTCCTCATTACTGCCAATACTGTTAGTGCTAATCAAATTTCATTCCTCATTGCCAATACACAGCCTGTGAGAAGGATTGAAATTCACAGACTTATAGAAGCCAGGTCAGCATGGAGTAAATTGTCATTATTAGTGTATAAATTAATGCTAAGTTATTACTATATATGTACAGAGTCTCTCTAAATTCACTCTTTTGAACAGTCAATTCATTATGAACTATGGGCTACCAATGAGGCCACTTTTCACACCAGTTCACATTGGTGGCAGACTGAACAGACAGAGGATCATGATATGAGAAACAGATAATTCATGTCCATGGAACACAGAACTGATGTGAACCTTCTCTGGTTCATGAACTGATTGAGCAGGACCCACTGCCTAGTCTCCTTGGTCACCTGACTTGACTGCAGTAGACTCCTTACTGTGGGGCTATAAAAGGTTGGAGGGCATCGGCACATCCTAGTAGAAACCATTGATGAACTCTGAGAAAGAACTGTTACAGCAGTTGCTACAGATGGGACTTTCATCTTATACAAGGACACCATATAGAACAATAGTGAAACTAGAAAGATGCACTTGAAATAAATTCAGTGCACTTTGTGTCCTGTTTATAACTCTGTTCAAAAGTGTGACCTAACTTATAAAGGCCCTGCATTTCTTTGACTGAGTGACTGGCGCCAACAATCTCATAGCATGTAGAGGCTACAGCGTTTTAGGAGCCTCCGTGAGAGGCTGATCGAATATCTTCTGGATATTTGTTGCACCACCAAGGGAGCCCACGTTGAACTTTATTGAGAAAGTTATGTACTCAGAAAAAACTTCGATATTTTCCATTTGTATTGTTGTAACCCATAAATGTGTATAGTAAATGCTTTCTGAGATATAATTATTTTATTTTTGATAACTTTCATCTGGACACTCTGTACTTGGATGTACAAAATGGTTTTTGATTCACATCTCTTCATTCACAATGTGTGAACACTTGTCTGATATTTCTTAAAAAATATGGACCACCACTTTACAAGGACATGACACTCACAGAGGTGATGCTAGAGTTCCATCTCATTTGAAATATATACAGTTAATTCTCGCTAATCCGGATTAATTTTGGGGGAGGTCATCTGGGTTAGGCAATAATCCAGATTAATGAAGCAAAATATAGCCCTAAAGACCAAAAGAACTAGAAAACAAATAATTGGAAAAATTGATAATATGAGATAGATAGAGCTGATGAAAATAAATGAAGAAAATCACTGTAGAGCCTTTATTTAAAAAGACAAGAAGCTGAAATCCAGGGTCTCCTTCATCCAGCTGAAGCAGATCTTGGATATTTTCTTGTGTGGTTTAAGTCCCTTCAGCTGCCTTGAACACACTCTGAAAGTCCTCTTGCTCCTAAATTCCACTTGTCTTTTAAAGTTTCTCATATGCATTCATTTTTCAAATTTTGATCCTGATTATCCAACATCTAGATTAACTGTAACTGAATTAGCGAGGGTTTACTGTAATAAGATCAAGATTTTTTCTAGCAGTTAAATCACTAATGGAGAATCTCGTTTTCTAATTCTGGTTCAGACTTGCAAATTGTTGAATATAAAGCAGATAATATGTTTCATTCCAGAGTATGAGACCAACTGCACCAAAGTCACATGACACTGGTCATCTCACATACCCGTTCCAGCAGCCTGACTCCAGACCACCACCACTGGAGCCCTATGACTCATTCCTTGCACCAAGTCAGATCACCAGGACCTGAGTTATCACAAAAAGTAAGAGCGGCTCCTGCTCCGCCAAGTGCCATGAAGGTACTACAGGATGGTAATTGTGAACAGTTGCCTGGAAGTGTTAATACATATGGACTCTAGGTTTACCTCGTTTGTTGCTAGTCTGAATCTGTGCAGCACAAGTTGATGAGAAAAGTGAGTGACCGCATAAACAGTGAGGAGGTACCTGCTCTCTCCATTTTCAGGGTACAGTAATCCTTTTACAGGTCCTTGTTGATTGACCTACCACCCCCCCTTCCTTCTTCCCCTTATCCTGCTTTCAATTGGTTATTCACTGCATTCAACATAGCTGCTGCTTCATAGGACTCAGTGGATCTACATACTGGGAGCCCTACTTCATGCCTCAACACTCCTACTAAAACTGTGACCATCCAAACTTCCTCCTTGCATTCATCCTCAAAAAAATACACTCTCTCCTACCCTGAAGTCGGAGACAGCGGATTCCTCTGAAATATTGGTACCTGTGTACCATACTACATGGTCTGACATCCCAGAAGGTAGTAATCCTCATATTCACTGCAGATACCTCACGTCTCAGAAATATAATGAGAATTATGAGAAAAATATTAAAAGAAGGTACCATTTTGTGTGTCAATCTTCATGTAATGTCCTGTTTTTAAATATTAGTCAGAAGTAATTTTTATAAGGCATGCGAAAAGGATTTAAACAGTAATACCCAATATAAGGAGAACTTATTGAATTTTTCAGGTACTGGAAGAGCAAATAAACTGACATATGGCATCCCTGGAACAGCTCTTTTAAGCTGAGAAGCCTTAAAATATTCTTATTGATTACAGTCTTTAAAATTAATTTCTTTCTCAGTGTAATTTTTCTCCACCTGCAAGTATGTGTGAAAGAGAGCAAGAAACGTTAAAGTAAAGTGGACACACATGATTTTTTAGTTCATGTGCAGATGTGCACAGTATCAGAAATTGCCTCTCTACAAAAAAAAAATACTTTCTCCTTCTACATCAGAGTAAGAAGTTGCAATTTCAGATGATAAAAACGTGGATAGACATAACAACTACAATGCTGCACATCTGTGGTAAACTGAGTTACACTGCAGGTGCAGCATAACTCACACTGAAGATATCACAGAACTGATTTCTTACATTTCTGCTTCATCTTCAGAATAAATTACCGGATTAGAAAGGTCATTCAGTTAACAATCAACTACCAATACGTTCCTCTCTCATTCTGCTCTCTGCAGTTTAGTTAAGTTTTATTCATTCTGAAGTGGTTTTGTGATATAGTACATCATATCCATCAAAGTTGATCTGAATATATATATTGACATTTGTTGTTAATTTGGAAATTCTCAGTCAAACAAAATAAAATTCATTGTATTTATGCATATTTTTCAGTCTTCCCATGTGCACCAGATAATTATTCTCCATATAAAACACCTCTGAGAGTACGCCATATCCTCAGCAGGCAACCATGTCAATGTGAAGCTGGTGTCTCCATTGTCACAGGTTGATGTCATGAAAGTTGTGTTTACAAGCTATATTTACACACACAGTTGTCCATGGTAAATAGTGAGCAGAATCAGATGGTCAGTGATGTCCTGCCTCAGCATGGACGGTGTGGGAACAGTGGTTGGTCATCTGAATTCATGTTGCTAGCCACTGGTCAGACTGTCTCCATACTGACACAGATGATCACTTAAGAAGACTTTATTGTGTACTATTGTGGTGAATGCTACAAGTCATATACCTACTGTCCAGTTATCCTCTTTGTGGCTCTGCAAACTGGGAGTGGTGGAAGAGGGAGCCTTTTTTTTTTTTTTTGCAGTTTATTTTATGATGCTGTTAGTATAGCCAACTATGTAGCATCAAATATTAGGCTAATTGGTGAATAATGTGGCAGAAAGCTGTAATGGCCTATTCAAGGTACAGTCCCAGCTTTTTCCTGGAAGGACTGAGGGGGAAGAAAAATGAAGAATCTCAATCTTAATGGCTGGTACCCCAGCTAAGATTCAAATAAATTTTCGTTGGAGCTTGAAGATTTTTTTTCTCGATATAAATAAGCAGCCAAAGGATCCAAACAGGAACTGTCTGTGTTGCCACCATGTTGACAGCACTCAAATGCTATGTGGCCACATCATCCAGACCTGTACTTGGACAGGAGGACCCTGCCGATGCTCCTTGCTATGAAATGTCCCCATTATCCATCTGAAATCTTATTCCTCAACAGAAAACCGAGCATTACTTTTGAATACTCCATAAGTTCCAAACTATTATTCATACAGTTGAAGCAGAGCAAGCACATTCATTACATCTGGCCAATGACGAGCAAAAGGTTTATGACACAACTGAAAATAATGCATCATAAAGTAATATGACACATGGAAAAGAAATGTTATTGGACAACAGCAACAAAGAGTTCAGTCTTTGCAACCAGCATGATTGGGAATTTAAACAACAATATTGAAAAGCAGTATGGATATTACAAACAGACATGAAGAAAGAGTCCAGACTTCTAAATGCCAATCAAAAATATCTGCCAAGGACATTTATAACATATTAAAAAATAGCAACACATCCCTTTAAACAATGTTATTATGTTTCAGTGGTTCAATCGTGACAATTTATGTACTTTTAAATTAAAGTCATAAGAAATTTCGAAATGTCAAATTGCATGACTGTACTTGCTTATTCAAATGATATAAAAGAGATATTACATAGATCTGCCATGATATTTACCAATGATTGAACATTTAAATTAGTATGAGTGTTATCAATTCTGCAGAGGGAAGTTGATAGGAAATCATGCAGTTTGTAATGTTTCAGCACGAACATCCTTTACTAAATTGATTCATGTTTACTACAACATATTGAATAAAATCAGCAGTAAAATGAACTGTATTTAAATAACATTCTGAAATGTTGTATATTATCCTTAATAACAAAAGTGGTGATACATGTCATATAAATATACAGAGCCAATTCCATTTCTGAGTGTGCCCACTGGACATGTTGTATATCAAGATGATGTAAGGAGTCAGTCATGTGAATTGGAAACAATGTTAAAATTATATTCAGGTGATCATGTACAAACTAATATGAAATATAAATATGGTACAATATTCCAGTAAATAAAGTACCAATTATAATTCTGAATAATCATTTCATACTCGGATACGAAGATGGTAGAATATAAAGATATGCAGTTATCAAGGGCATGTTTATGCTAAAAAGATGATGATGTTGATGAAGAAATAGAATGCAGTGACTGTATCATATGTTTATTTTATGTGACTGTTTTTCAGTAAATTTAATATATGTACAATTCACTCTTATATTAAGCTTATTATACCAGCTTCCTTGCAACAATAGTTCCCTTCTTCATGCAGGATAATATGTCCTAACCTTTATTACACAGGCACCAGATTGATTAATAACACAATTGTAATGTAATATGGAACCACTGAATTCGCCAGAATATTGTGAAGAATTGCCTTCAATAGGTCTATGAAATACATGGGTAAAATCCAACTGGTTTGCATCTTGCGCACTGTATGGGATGACATCCAAAAACAGGTCTTATTAATAGATTTAGCATTCCTTGGAGTCAGACCAAACAGTAATATTGATACTGATGCATGACCTATACTACTGTTGATTGTACCCATTAAACTTCCTTTTTTCAACTGTTCTTTCCATGAGTTTGATTTGTTTCATTTTGGTCCGTCCATGTTCTTTCCATGTATTTAATGGTCATCTAGGGGACATCCAGCTAATGGAAATCTCTTTATCAGTAATGTTACTTAATAATTGATTAGATGTTCTGGTTGGTGCTGAAGATGCTCTTGTCCCTGAAACATCATTATATTCTACAACAGGATTTCCAGAATCTCACATTTTATTACTTCATTAATAAATATATATATATATGTGTGTGTGTTTGATGTGCCCTATATTGCTGTCCAAACTTTGTGTCTAAAGACAGATTTATTTCCTAGTGAAACCAGAAAGTTAAAAAATAAGAGGACTTTGAGCTTACAAGGAAGGATTTACATTGTGTGGCATACCAGCTAAAAAAAAATCTTAAACAAGTTTTTCTGAAAATAATCAAAATCCTGGTGAAGACGGAATACATCTTTTTGTATAATGCCATGGTAATCAGATCTCCTTCCGAGAGCCTGTGGGTTCAATAATGAACATTTTTCCAGGCTCCATCAAGTTCTGGATGAGGAGTTTGAGAAGAAGACGTATGAGGTCAACAGGGTGTTTAATGTTGCTGAGACAGGCCTCTGAATAGCTCAGTCCTGACAGCTAGACATTGTTACTTTAACATGGATATGTGAAGTTGCAATGATAAAAACAGTGGAAAGGGGTTCCTTTATTACACAGTTTCTTCATAAGTGCCAGGGTAATCTATGCCCCCCCATACCCGCTTGTTTCACCGGAGTTTCAGAGCACAGTTGAAGAAAGGTGCTTTACCATCTATTTTTGGCTGGCATCCATGAGGATGGATGCGAACCACCTGTGCTCCTATTTAACGTAGACAGTTCTTACACTAAAAATCTTAATGTCACTGATATCATTCAAGAAGGGACTGACCACAGGAAATGTCACTCATCCCACAAATCAGCTGGCTCTGCTTGCATTATCACTGATTTTCATATAAGACTGGACTTAAGTGTGCACTGAGAAGGAAAGAATACATGGGGATGAAGAAAACTGAGGGGGTGAAATCAAAGTCAGCTGAAAACGTAAACCACCCTGTTTGTGGCACAGCACCACAGAAATCACATATTTTTTCCCCCAGAAGAAAGCTACACATGGATAAATCAGAAGTCTGCTCTTCATAATCAAACGTGGTAATGCAATTGTAGGAAGGACAAATGAGCCAATAATGGGAATTGTTTTGAGGAACGTGCAAACCCAAATAATCATGCAGTGTGTATGGTCCTTATTTCAACGTTTTTTGAAGACATTTCAAAATAATGGATCATTCGTCTAATTTGTAAAGATTGGGAGCATATCACATGCTCAGATATGGAGAAATTGGAGCGTTTATGTGACTTTTATATAAAAAACACCTTTGCACTAACACTTATGCTTGGTATTGTATGGTATAATACCGTTGCTATGCAGCGATCATGAGAAGGAACATGCATTGCTTGGTAATGGCTGGTAAACACATCAGTATCCAAGGTATTTGCCAGGCAACCTCCCATAGCAACAGTAGAGGGATTGTTAGAGTGCCTAAGAATATAACTGGGCCACCCTGTTCCTGGGAGATGTAAATACCTGGCCCTTCAATTTGGGGGAGTCTCGAACCTGAGACAGTAAAATATGGTCATGGGCTCAGACCAAAGAATGACTCTGCTGGCGAGAACCGGCAGAAATTGTAAATTACAGGCCCATCCTCTCATCAGAAAGGATATTACATAAGGATTATAACTGAAAGTGTTCAGTTGAAAAAAAAAAATACTGATTATGGGTCTTAAGGGGCTTGGCACCAAGATGAACTGATGGGCAGTAAGCCATCAGTCTTAAAGCAACTCTGCCGAAGGAAATACTGTTGAGTCAAATGACATGAAGAAGTCCGATGGTGAGTGAGAGAGTTCAGTTGTCAGTTGAAAGTCAGCCTGTGAAGAGTACACTAAGAGGATGATGTGAAATGGCTGCCAGCCTGGAACCCAGTTAGTCGAGTTATCAGTTGACAAGAGTTCTGCACAGGTCTGTGACAAGAGGACCTGAGTGCCGGGAGCTGAAGAATCTCCACTGTTTTAAATCTGTTACCAGGAAGCGGCTAGTGGAGATTGTAATAGATTGAGGACACTAGTCTGTGTGTGTCAGTGATCTGTAAAGTTTAGTTTCAAGTAGTGTATACAAGTGGTCAATAAATCCAGGATCCAATCTATAGCCACACCCCTGAATACATTACAACATTTTCTCTTACTTAATGTTTGTATGCAAGTGTTTCTCTGAAGATTTTGTGTCTTTAACCATCCCATCATATTACCATACAGCTGGTTAATAGGGACAGTTACATATTTGAATAAAATAACTGTTTCAAGTCATCTGCTACATAAGAAATAAGTAATAAACTTAGAGTTAAATTACCATTTAAATTGCCCACATCTTTCAGCTCTTACATGGTATACTATTGGTATTCTATTTAAATGAATTTTATTTGTTTTTATAATACTGTATTCAGAATTTACCTCCTTCCCTCTATAAAGAATTTCCAATTGCAAGTCTAGGAGCTTCCCATATAACTTCATTGTTTCTGGTGAACGTATAGTTTAAATCGTGCAACAGTGCACTTTCATAATCACAGTTGACTGGTGGAATAAATTATTTCCTGGTTTCACATAGTTCTGTCCCAGCCAAGTGAGGTCTGCTTATAAACTGCACTAATACTCTTGTATGGCACATACAGTATTACACTCTTCCACCTAAAGTAATATGCTGACAACTTGCCAGTTGATTCACAATCATTGCTATCATTTGCCATCTGCACATGCCTGATACAATCATAATGATGAATCACGCATGTGTCACATATGAGTGTATGCACTAACATGGCCTGTCACTACATGACATGTGCTGACTATTCTTTAAATATGTAGACCACCAAGAATGACTCAGTATGAGATAGTTTAGCCAGGTACTGAATAACAGTAAGAAGAGAGGAAAGGGCTGGCAAGAAACTAGAATGAAAGATTGTGGGGGAAAAAAGAAGAAAGTGGAGACCATCTCCCACTGACCTGCATAAGTGGAAATCGTGACAGAAGAAGAAATAGCTTTATGCATTTCCAGCTAATGAATCATGTTAGTGTAACCATTACATTTGATGTACAGGACATATAACTACATGATTTTCATTTGTATTTGTATGGACTTTGGCCAAATTTCTTTCTTTAAGGTATATGTGAGGGGGAAGGTGTATGTGTAAGCTTTCATGTTCCACTCCATCTCAACTTGTGGCCACATGACCAATTTTCGGTCAATTTTGTATGGACATTATGCCATTAGTGACCACCCTAACATCATAATTTTTTATTTTCCACATTAGCAGCACAGGATTTTTTTTACTGAAGAAACCTATATGAGTTTTACCATAACTGTCTACAGTTTAGTTTGTTTTGCGTCTTTTATATTGTGGACTTCTCTATATAATCCTCCTCCTCCTCCATCTTCTTGTTCCAGCTCAAGAATTGGGTCATACAAGAAGCAATTTCTGGCATTCAGAATTTTGAAACGATCTTTCCATCTACTTCAACTCTTCTCATGTCTCCCTGTATAATCATATCATTAAACATTTGTAGTAACATAACTGTTTTAAATGTAGTTTTTGAAATTTTCATAAAGAGCATCATAGACAGAGTTATTTAGAATGAATGTGTCAAACTTCATGTGTAAATGATCAAATGATTTCCAAATTTTAGGGAGTTTAAAAGTAAAGGCCTGATAAAACTATACTTTGAGCTTCAGTTAATGTAAGGACAAATGCAAACAAATTTAAATTACTGCAAAGCTTGAATCTGTACCCCAAATATGAAATTCACTGAAACCTACTGAGTTATTTTGGAAATGAAACATGCATATGGGCAGACAGATGATCTCTTCATGATATATGTTTTGCTTGTACTTTAAGCCAAGAACTCAAGAAATAGTCACTATATTTTACTTTATATTATGCAGAGGAAATAATTGTGTATATATTTGTACATTTTTGTCCTTGGTTTTTCATAGCCGGAATTTAATGTGTAACTTTGGATTGCAGGAGGATGGCAACTGTAGTGTTTGCTGAAATGGGAAATAGTCAACTTTTGACATGGCTCATTCATGAAAGCCAAAGTGAAACATATATCTGCTATCTTTTAATGTAATGGATGAATAAGTCCTGCACAAGAAATTTTGGCACAGAAGTCTAAATAGATATTACTAATAAATTAAGTCTGTCTATTACAAATTTGGACACCTTAAAAACTACATGAAGCAAAGTACATGAGAAATATGTAGCAGCTGTTGTAAGCTTAGGCTTCACACAAACTCTGACCAGAAGGAGAAATGAGGGATAATGGTTAACTGCAAATAGGCATCTTGGGCCATGCATCCCTAGTTCAGTGTGTTACACATTGTGAAACAGCCTGTACATGCCTTCTTGGTTACCTTATAGTTATCTCCTATTCCTCCTACCTAGATGGTTTCCCTTCTACGTCCTCACTATGCCCATCAGCAGGACCTAGAAATGTGCTGAAAAGTGCCCCATTTATTTGTGGCTTGGATTTTGATTCTGTAATTAGGTCTTTGGACTGCAATAACATCTGATCCTGATTCATTAGGGCCAGTTATTTGGGGCCATGATGCAAGTGTCATGAATATCCAAATTGTATTTGGCCACGGCCTTTGTCTTTTAGCTATTGCTGTTACAGTCACCCCCCCCTTGTATTCCCTTTCTGGGATTTAATTGATCAATTAACCATAGAATTGGAATCACAGCAAAGTCTGTGGTCATAGCTGTAAACAAAAGCACTTACTGCATATGTTATTGCATCATTATTCTTTTGTACTTTGTTTATTTCTCTATTGCATGCTCATTGATTTCTGTTACAACCGTGTCATTGATTTATTTACTTGTACTGTAGCCTTAACTTGGATGATCCTAAGTAGCATTCAACGAAGGGAAAGGAAGAAAGTAGTGATTGAGCTGCCTTATACCACCCCACATTTCCCTAATCTCTGTTTCATTCTCTTCTGCAACAGCTTACACTAAGTATTCTTTCTGTTGTTGCCCTATTAAACTATGTCTTTCATTGAAGAATATTCTATGGTAAAATATATCTACTCCATAAATCAGAGTATGTCATATGAGTATCTTGGAAGGAAGATCGTATGTAAGTATGTCTGAATTTCGCACTGGCATGTGGATACCAGAAGTACCTGTTTGTTGAAAACAGGATCCTTAGTAACTTTTTTAAATTATGTAACAATTTACGTCATCACCTGATTATGATGCACCCTCATTCCCTAGGAGATAGGGTGTACATGTATGTTTAATATAACATGAAAGTTTATATGCAAAACAGTTTCTCAAGGCTTGTTGAAATGAAAATCGTTTGTGGATTGTTGTGGGTGAAGGAGTAGAAACTATTAAAAATAGTCCATATGGGTGTTGAAGCAGGCTTCCCATTGACACATTGGTTAACAGAACTTCTCCATGAATAACTCTTTGGAACCACTGCACAAATTTATAATCCCCTGTGACCATCCATATTTAACATGGATGGGTTTCTTCTGAACAACGCTCATACACACATAGTTTTATCTGAACATTATGTACTTTTTTGCAAGATACAGCACTGTACCACTGACACATAATATACCAGGTCTTTCTCTGAACAGTGGTAACATGATAATTCAGTTAAAAACACCTGTCAACCACATTACATGAATTTACACTTCATAAGTATTTGTGTTTTAATCATTGCATCTCATTCACTGATGCACAAGAACACGTCATGATATCTGGCATCGCAAAGGTAATAATGAAACATGTATTTTTTATACATCACTCACTCACTCACAAATGGAGCTGAGCCCATCTTGATAAACCTCCAATTGTGCAGCTACTCAAGAACTTGCCAGCATTTTATGGAATCCAAAGGTTCATTACCATGTTCACAAGAGCACTCCACTGGTCCCTATTCTGAACCAGATGAATCTAGTCCATACCATCCCATCCTATCTCTCTAAGATCCATTTTAATATTGTCCACCCACCTATGTCCTGTTCTGCCTAGTGGTCTCTTTCCTTTTGGCTTTCCAAACAATATCATATATGCATTCCTCTTCTCCCCCATTTGGGTTACATGACCTGCCCATTTCATCCTCCTTGACTTGATCATTCTAATTATACTTGGAGAAGAGTATGAGTTATGAAGCTCCTCATTATGCAGTTTTCTCAAACCTCCTGTCACTTCATCTCTCTTCAGTCCAAATATTCTCCTCAGCACCCTGTTCTCACATACCCTCAGTCTACATTCCTACCTTAAAGTCAGAGACCAACTTTCACAACCATACAGAACCACAGGCAAAATTATATGTTCGTATATTTATATAATTTTTAGGTTTGTAGACAGCAGACGAGAGGAAAAACGTCCTGGACTAATGGGAGGAAAAGGGTTCTGGACTGAAGGGCAGCAAGCATTATCTGAGTTAAATCTCCTCTTAATTTCCTCCTGAATTAGGTTTTGATTTGTTATAGTTGTTCCCAAATATATGAACAGTGCCACATTTTCAAAACATCTGTTACCTATCTTTATGTCATGAGTTTGCCCTGCATTTTGGTGATGAGACAGCAACATATATTTACTTTTCTTTGTGTATACTTCTACACCAACCTCCTTACTAGTGTCAATAAAAGTTTCTGTGTTTTCTTTATGGTATCTATATTATCACCCAGTAGATTCACATCATCGGCATAGATCAACAGCTGATGTGTCCCATTTAATTTCAGTCCCACCTGGTTTTCCTAGACCTTCCTAACGGCATATTCTAAAGCAAGTTCAAAAGTAGTGGCAATAAAGCGCCTCCTTGTTTTAGACCATTGTGGATGGGAAAATTATCACACAAAAGTTTACCCCTATGGACTTCACTATACATTTCATTTAAACACGTTTCAATCAGCCTAACTATTTTCATGTTTACCCCAAACTCTATGAGAATATTTATCAGTACTTCCCTCTTAACTGAATAATAGGCTTTCTTGAAGTCTGTGAATAGCTGATGTACTGTCTCATTGTACTCCCATTTTTTTTCTACAGTATCCAATGAATATAAAAGATCTACTCAATGGTTGATCTGTTACATTGAAACCCACTCTGATAATCCCCAATAATTTCATTTATGTATGGCCTTAAACTCAAGCGAAGAATAAAAGGTAAAGAGAAAAAGTAAAGCTATCCATGTAACAGACCATGAAGGCCCATAGGGTTGTGCTGTGAGACGTTAAGGCTCCCACATGTTCTCTACACAATCGGCTCACAGATAGCAGTAAGGTTGTCAGCCTTACACACTGGTCGCCTTTGGCCCCCAGGAAGATTCCTGGTACTCATTTCTTTTGGAAACTGAGTCGACCCCAGGGCCATAGTGCCATAGTGCGGAAAATTTAAAAAAATCCACCTCATCAGGACCCTTGATAGTATTATATTGGATAAAATTTTGTATGAAGTTGATAGCAGTGATATCCCACGATAATTACTACAGTCAGTTTTATAACCCTTCTTGTGAACCAGTACAATAATAGACTCCTTCCAATGATCAGGCAATTCTTCCTTATTCCACATAGAATTAATAGCTTATGGATCTTAGAACATAATATTTCACCCCTGGCTTGTTTCAGTTCTGCCAGATTTTTTTATACATCAGCTGATTATATAATTGTTATTTTACTTTGATGTTTGTAACAGATTTTCCTATATATTCCATTCCAGTAAGATGCATTATAATTGTACAAAAGAATATATATTTAAGGAGGACAGATTTCACGTTACGTATACTGATGGGATGAATATTCTGTAATATCTGAGTATAACATCAAGGGGATTACGTATATTTAAATGTGCCCATTCCTGCATTCAGAAAGCAACAATCCAGAACTAGTTGATTTTAATACTGTTACAAATCCTATAGTCCCTGCAATGCGTTTATCTACTCAGCATTGGAATGCACCTGCCGAAAAGTGTGAGGATGGACATGTATGAAAAATAATTTTAATGGCATAAATTCTGATGGAATAAAGGTAGTATAAATTACAGTTCTGTAATATACACAGTGTGTTACTGGGATGACCTCAGTGGGTTCCTTTTCTTCCTTTTGACCTTGCTTCTGCTCTCAGTCTGTGCCACTGGACTACGGTGATAGTCGGATTTGCCAGCATTTCCAGCCAGTGCTTTGTTTCAGGCTCCCCAGAACCATCTCTGCCTGAAACATTTACAAAGCTTACTCTATGTAGGACATCATCACTTTGCCTCTCCTGTATCATCATCGTGGGGCAGACAACTCCATGGAACTTGTGATGCTCTACAAGAAAATCCTAATGATGTAAGTACAAAGATTACTCTCCTGTGGTATATGGTATGTAATAGAGTATAGTCTGGTAGGGATGTTGGAAGCAATTGTTTTCTCTGAAATCTTAGTAACAGTCTATCAGTCTACTTGGCATCACATCCTACAAGGCACTACTTTTCATAGTCACTGCTATAAGCACCTCAAATCCCACATTGCGGTTCAGTTGACTTTGAGTGTACCACACCAAGCTGTCAGTCAATCCATCCCTTAACAGCATACTGTCACATGTATGGGTGACTAAAGACAGGTTTCGGATTGGTAACTGGACTTATTGACAACCTACAGGCCGTAAGTACAATTGATTATTACACTCTTACTGCTTTACACAATTTACAGTCACTCCACACTAATCTCTTAAGTCTATCTGCACTGGTCTTCTTGGATTTATAACACAGAAACTATAACAGTTTCACTGAATTACACACTCCAAATATTACACATAAATAAAGTCTTTTAATCACATGTTAAGGCTTCACAAGCTGACTTCTAGTTCTTCAACTACGAACTTCCTGTGCCTATCTCCTACCGAGAACTGACTTGCTTGCTTGTTCACATACTTCTACTGTACTACTACTCATAGCTCATAAATGCTCTGAACGAATTTTTGTCACTTACATAGCAGTGGAACAGACATAGGCCTACAGTAAACGTGTCACATGAATGCTATTCCAGCAGCCAGTCTACATGTGCATTGGTTGGATCTACAGAAACACACCTTCCTCTATTGTTGCATCTTGGACCATGTTTACAGAGCTGTTGCCTGGCAAAGTGTTGACCAAATACGTTACAATATGCCCTGACAGAAGTCTGGATATGTTATGGATTTGGTACTGACAGCCTGATTCTGCCTTGTAATATTATGGCATATAGACCCGTTGCTAAGAGGCGACTCTGTAAACATCAGCCATTGCTAGGTAATGCCTGCACGCAACAATAGAGGAGGTGTCATGATACATGACATGTACAGCTATTGCTATGTAGCGCTTGCAGTATATGTGTGCATGGTGACATCACACAACAATATAAGGGGTGATGCAGGCGGCATTCTCCCTGGGTCCACTCCAAGGCTACATGACTCGAATGACCGTGTTCTGTTCAGCGAGTGAGTGTGGTGCAGTTGAGGGTTCAGTTGTGGACTGTTAACCAGCGAGCAGCAAAAACTGAAGAAACTCCATTGTTAAGATTCGTTACCAGGAACATCTAGTGCAGACATTGCAGAGGAATACCCATTGGGAAGAGCTGTTACCACGTAAAGACTATTGAAAGTAGACTGAGAAGACTTAGTGTGAAGTGATTAGTAATGTGGAAATCAGCAATAGTATTATAGTTATTTGTAGTTACAACCTGTAAGTAGTAAAAAAAATTCATCAATCCAAACCCCGTCTAAAGTCACTAAAACACATGATTGTGCTCCTAGTGACAGTAAACTTGAGTCACTATTTAACCCATAATAGGAAGAGATGACATTACCTGCAAGCAAAAGCCGACCAATCAGCTCATCCCTCCCAATGTTGTCAAAGTCCATCACCACAATTTCCAAAGAACTCTCCTCCATATTTGTGTTTGTCACATTGAAATTGAATGCTTCATTAAATATTGGATTGAGTGTGCATTTGACTGTCTTTGTTTTCCGTTTCTCAACACGTCTGTCCGGTGACTTGAGGCATAACTTCACATAAGGATCTGAAATCACATAGAGAGATGACAAGAATTTATAAATCAGATTTTGTAATGCACTTGTAAGAGATAAAATTGCAATTGCTTGGCCATGTAAAAGAGAATGGATAAAGCAAGAATAGAGAAAGGGCATTTGAATTAAAATTTAAAGGAAAGATGGGATGACCCAAAACAGGATACTTTAACCAGGGACTGGAAGGCATAGAGGGGAGAGGGAATAGCTGGCAAGAAACTGAAAAGCAAAAATTCTGAAAGATAAAAGACGTTTGAGACATCTTGTCCATCTGCCCAAGCAGGATGGACATAAAGCCTGAAAAGAAAACAGACACAGGCAGTATATCCATTAGCAAGACCAAGAGTGTGGAAGCTGTTAGAAAGTTAAGGGGTTCATAACTCAACCACCAAGGATTGGTTAGATGCACAGAATAAACACATCATGTGATAAATCTCTGCTGTGCACAACAAACCCCTCTAGAAATGGCATGCCATAACTTATAATATCCAACAAATCTTTTAAATGGCCTCTGTTTCAAAATGGGTAAACCAGATCTGGAAATTAGTGGCTAGATGCCATCTACTGTACATGGTCCCAGAGCACTGTTTCATAATGAAACTATGGTAGGATTGCCTCAGAGCCTCCCACAAGTCGTTTGGCTGCCCACATGGAAAAATCAGATGCACATAGCCCCAGTGTTGTGTGGAAAGCTTGAATTGATGCATTGTATTTCTAGCGTCTAAGATGACATGAAGGGGAGGGCATGTGGTAACATGGTTGAGGCACTATGCTACAAGCTGGAAGGTCGTGGGTTCGATTCCTAATAAGGTCATTAGATCTTTCAATACACCTAATCCTTTCAGCCACATTATTTCTTGGGGGTTGACTAAACCTCTAATGGAAATGAGCACCAGGAATCTTTCTCGGGGTAAAGGGCAGCCGGTGTGTAAGACTGACAGCCTCGCCATCATCTGTGAGCCAATTGTCAACAAAATGTGAGAACCTCCACATATCACAACTTTATGGGCTTCTGTGGCCTCTTACAGGGATAACTATACTTTTTTTAAGATGACATACTTACTGTTTCCAACGACATTACATGCAGGTAGAAATTCTTAAAGCTGTACTGTAACAATTGTCTTTATAATGAATTCCTCAAGGCCTTTCTGCTGATCTCCTGAGAAGATATATTGACTTTCCTGACATAACTCATTTAACTAACTCCCTGTTTTCACCCTGAGTGAGGGTGAACAGACAGTGAGGACATGTGAAGGTGTTGTAGGTGGGGAGGGCTCTGAGAAACAACAGATGTCAACAGTAAGATGTAAAGAAGCAGTGAGCATTAACTCAATTAAATGTAAATTAGGAAATAATATAATAGATACGAATAGCAAAGATAAAGAGATACCAAGTACAATGAGTGGAAATCCACTACAGAACCTGATTCCAGATAGTAAACGTAGTAGACAATCTACACGTAATAAAAAAGTATCAATGGCAAGAAATAAAGATTTTTTTATGGGAAATATAAATCTAGATAAGTATGATAAAGGTAACTTTAAGTCAAATAATTGTAATGTAATGAATCAAAATAATTTCATAATTTACCACCAAAATATTAGGGGTATCAATAATAAAACAGATCAATTAATATTAGCATTTACTTCTGAGCTACCGCATGTTATTTGTTTATCAGAGCATCATTTAAAAGAGTTTGAAATAAACAGTATTACTCTGAACCAATATGTATTAGCTAGCAAATACTGTAGGAAAAATTTTAAGCAAGGAGGTGTATGTATCTTTGTCCGAATGAATATACAATTTACACATATAAACAATATTGTTACATGTAAAGAGAAAGATCTAGAAATGTGTGGTGTTCAAGTGAATTCACTAAGTATGTACATAATATGTATTTATAGGGCCCCAACTGGTGATTTTAATTATTTCTTGGAAAATTTAAACAAATTCCTTAACAAATTGTACAAAAACTAAAAAACATAATAATATGTGGGGATGTGAATATAAATTACCTGGTGGATACTAATTACAAACAAAAACTGGATTCGCTACTAGCTTCATACGGGCTATATAGTACAGTTACATTTCCGACTAGAATTTGCTCTAACTCATCCACAGCAATAGATAATATTTTTATTAACAAATATAAAAACAAAAGTTTCAGTGTTCTTCCATGGGAAAATGGATTATCTGATCACGATGGGCAGATCATTATAATATACAATGTTACATATATAATGAAGCAAAGTCAGTGGTATACCCCGTAGGGTCATCAACGAATTCTCTCTATTAGACTATGAATTATGGGATGATATTTTTGTAGATAGTGATGTGGATACAATGTTTAATAACTTTTTAAATACTTACCTTAGGATTCTAAATTCATGTTTTCAG